TTACCTTCATTTTATTGTTTCTAATAATTGTAGGTTTTTTGTTTAATTACGGTCAACAGTCCCTGATGGAAATTATTCGTGTTAATTACAAATTGGCTTTGTTTATCTCGATGTAATATAATTTCGGATTGTGCATGTTTAAAAAATTCAAATGAGGAAACATAGGTGTAATTACTAATTTCCTTAATTTCGAAAATGTACCAGAAAGCCAAAAATTCCTGTTAATTTTGTCACACTTACTTAAAAACAAATAAAATGATGGAATAAGGTTTTTACAACATCTGTCAATAATTTTTTCTTTTCGTGTCAATAAAAAGGAATAGTATGAGAGTTTGAGAATCCCTCAACAAATTCATTTATGCTTTCTTCCGGATGTCCTACTACTTTGCGGTTTATGATAAGAAACTGGCATTCTCTAACAATAATATTATTTTCGGTCGGAAATTTCTGTAAAAAATTTGTGGAATAATAAAACCTAACAAGAAAAATATTGCAGGAATCAAATTACAGAACCGGTTTGCTAATCTTGAACATAAGATTTTGATTACACAAAACATTGTAACACTTGCATGGATAAGATAATTATACTTTAGTAACATATGGAATAATTGAATGTCATGTGAATACACCGGTTTGTGATTTTTAAAGTTTTGTACCAAAATTATATGGTTGGTAGCACTGTAGAGCATGTTTTCTTTTCTACACATGTTTGATCAACAAAGCCTATTGTTTCTACAATATAGAAATTATTAATCATAACTTATTAACATTTCATACTTTGTTTTATGTCTTAATAAAAAAATCTGAGTAAATTAACTTCTAAAGCATAGGACAGTATGTATTAAATTTTATGTACATACCGGACGACTATTAATGTTGTGACAAAAAAAATCTGTTGACAACACTGAATTATTGGTAATCCTTCTAATTTTTTACATCAGAATGTTTCAGATGACGATGACGGCTAAATCAGCAGTCGCCCGTTGAAAATGAATGACAAATGCCTATAAAAGTTTGACGTTTGAATTTGAAAGTCAAGGTTGCCAAACTAAAATTTTAAATTTTGACACGAACTTGAGGTAAAAAATCACATTTACGTCGCCGGAACATCCTAAAACTAGCCTTGTGTTTAAAAAAAATAAAGTAAACATGTGTTTGCTACTGGAATTAAACTTCCAAACTCCAGGGAGAGTTAGATCTGTTGCTTGCTATCCTTCTAACTTCTATTCAAGTCAGTTTTGCCACTGTACTCGAAGGCAAACTTCTTCATATCATCAAATTAGTTCTTTATGGGGTTTCTAGACCCACACAGTCTCTCATTCAACCACATCACAGACGAAATCTTTCCTTGAGCTTTGACCTCTAACTTTGTGACTATTTCCATGATGCTACAAGTCTGGTTCAACTAGAGAGTAGGCTCTTACGGCTCCCAAGAGCGGATTATTACTGGTCAAGGCAAGTTAATCAGCGAAATGAAACAAAAATAACCCAAAACCAATAAACAATTCCGTAGTAATGAAGTGAAGATACTTTGCACTATCACGTTTGGGGGTTTTCTGCCTGAAAGCGATAAAAGCTCTCAATCAGATTCAAAATGATACTAATTTGAGGTCCAAGATGATGATGACACACTGTCGAGTTGGAAATTCGCAAATTAGATTTCCACTCTGACGTAAACAGAACGTATGAGCGAGTGCATGATGAAGTCGCAAGGGATGAGTTTCAGCAGTGTTTCGGTGGCGTAGGTGGCGGTCCACCCACATAGCTAAACTCCAGTCCCATAACAAAATATTAAATCGGCCTTTAGCCATGAATAACGATCCTTCCTCATCCAGTGAGTGTATATAGACAGAGTAATTTATAGCTTCACAATTTTATAGATTGAGCAAAAATTTACTTCACCTTGCTCTACTAACAAAAGCATTCGGCAGTCGTGACGTCAATAGGAAGACTTGACCGTGAGATTCGCAAAAACAATGTATTATTACGCGGATCCAACAAAAATAATAAAGGAAATTAGCGAAAATTTCATATAAAAATCGAGATATGGTATTGTTCAACATGCTTGTTTACATTCGGTTTGTCTTCTTAATTTTCAAAGCGAGTTTAATTGAATAATTGTTTGCTATAGTCGAGTCCTTGATTGCGATAATATAAAGGATTTTCTTTTTACGCCGTATATGGTCATCAATTACGAAAAATAAGATACAATGAACCTTTAAACATTCGCGAAAGTAAACAAATATTTCTCGTTGACGACTCACAATTATTTTTATTCATTTAAAATTTAATTCTTGAGTACACAGACCTTCAGTCGAAATTATCGTATCCGATTTTAATTAATTACGAACAATTTTATTACTCTGTATTATTGCGAGACAAATAATTTCGTGCATCCGTATTTGTTTAATGCCAAAATTCACGCAAGCGAATAAATTTATTGCGTGATCTTGAAAATTACACAAATCTCACAGATTTCTAAAAGGTTAAAAGGATAACGCCAAGAAAAATAACACCTGTTTCACATGGGTCAGAAGATTGATTTGTGTTCCCAAAATCTCAAAGACGGTCTCTTGCGTTCACTACGCATTTGAATTTTAAAACTTTGAATTTATTTGTTTCTAAATAGGTATGCACACAATGCACGTCTTACAAAGAAATGACATTTAAGGCGGGAGTGGCATCTTAACAGCCAGTGGCGTCGTTTAATTTTACTACTTTTGAAAACACCTACTTTACCCGTTTTTTGTTGTGAAAAAAACAACAAACTAGCAGTTCGGCAATAAAAAAAAGGAAGTATTGACGACAGGACAAATAACATACTTGTGTCAATTTTACCAATAAAGAACGCCACTGACTCAACAACTAATTTTTTAATTTTTTTTTTTTAGTTTTTTTCTTTTCCCCCCAGCATCAACCCAACTCAACTTAAGAGATTAAAAATCAGTTATAAAATTCTTTTTTTCTCTTATTATTATCGTATCTACATTCAGTCAAATTTTTAAAAACAAAACTACAAAATTGTTGAATTCACAGTCATTTTTTTGTAATTACTGATATTTTTATAGAAAATTATTTTCTTAGCCGATATTGATTATTTGTTGAAAATTTTCTATAGCTAGGTACACTGAGAAAAAAAGAATATATTGCAAAAAAGCTGTAACTGGCCCCTCAATATTCTGGAAAACTGAATTGACTATTTATTACACAACATAGGTACCTGTGTTTATTCTTTCTAGTAAATATTTATTATACCTAATTAATCTTCGTGTTATTTTCGATCAAGAGAAAAAAGTCTCCTTATACTCCAGTATCACTAAGAATTTATTCGTTATAGAAGATTTTTTTACAAAACCTAAGTGAACAGCAAGGTCACTCAGTAACCGATTTTTCGTTAGGTATAACCAGGACGCGCTATAGCGGAGTTCTACTGTATCATTCGAAACTTCAGACAACCAAACCTTTATGTTTATAGAAGAAATTCCATTTGTTTCAATAAAAAAATTAAGTGCTCATGCGTAATTAAATATAAGTTAAAAACAAATTTAATTTATAATTTAGAAAAAGTTATTATAATAACATCGATTACAATATGAAATAATGGAAGTTGCTTTAAGAAAAGGATTCTTTCTGAGTTGGTTGTAAAAAAATCATTTGTAATAATAATAAATTATAAAACATGTGACATTTTAAATCGCCATATTTGATAAGCATCACTTTGCAACCAAAACTAAATAAAGATGTTTATTCAATCATAAAGTAATAATCAAATCACCTTATACATGTGAAAAGTTGAAAAGTATGACATTTCAACCACTACATACTTCTAATTAAGGTATTTAACAATCGGTATTAAATATCCGGTTCGGGTTGGGAAGTGGGCACTTCCTTATCAGCTGTTGTCATGTTCGTCCAAATTTGATAAATTTTTTATTGGCTTTCTGTTCTTTACGAAGGATTGTGAATAAAATAGTATGTATAGGTACAAACATTGGTGGTCGTACCTCGGCTTATTGCTCAAATTTCGCCTTGATAATGAAGCACCTTCCACCTCGGTATGTTATCTAGTATTACTAGAAATAAGGAATATAAATCAAATCTTAAATATTAAAAAAATTGAATTTAGACTCTTTTTTTTTGAGATTTAATATGAATACCAAATTTAACAAGCTGATTGCGGATTAAAAAAAACAAAAAAAAAACTCAACAATGAATAATGCTTGTAATCATTAATTATAAATGATTAGAACGTGTTACCTTAACATGAAAGAATCTTTTCATAAATATCTAAAAAACCCATTCATGTTATTAACTACTTCTAGAACTTAAAAGAGACAATCATCGAAATATTTTTTATTTGCAATTTTCACTAGAAAAAGTAATCACTTCATAAAAAAGTAAATTTATGTATAAAGTGCGCAGGTATATTAATAGACGTAAAAATATTACACTAACATATGCGTTAATTAACCCAATTCTGATTTGTACACATGGAACAAAAATTAAACTAACTACATTAAAATTTATTTCACTATTTACACTGAAAAATTTTCGAGTTATGTAATGAATGATTACCAAATTATGAAGAATTTTATTGTTACATCTAGTCACCCTATCAAACGTGAAAATCATTAATCGTAAATATTTGATTTATCAATTAGTCGATAATCGTATGTTTTGTTTGTGGTATTATATCAGATGGTAAAATAGCAATAATTGCATTGATTACACAACAAAATAATTCCACGTGAATTTCAGATGAATCATTTTTATATAATAATACACTTAAAACCGATTTCTAGCTCAGGTGAGAGTTACATTTGAAAGAAAGTTAAACTTGTGACAAAAAAAACTAAATTTGGTGTCTGTCTAATTACCACCTGACCGTGTGCACTCACAAAATTCTTATTTAAATATAATAAACCTGACAAAACCACACCTGAAATTAAAGAGGACAACAACGCAAACAACTTTCAAGTAAAAATGCAGTAATACTATACCTTTTGATAAAATGCAAATTGCCACGATTGAAATATTTATTCCTTGAGAACTCGTCCTGGTTTCAAACTCATCGTGTCACATCGTCAAACACAAACACAAAAATTCGTTTAATAACAAAGCAACAATTTCGAAAGAGGTTCTTGGCTAACCGGACACCGACATTCCACCTGTTTGACTCTTGAAGCACTAAATGAATTGAAAATTTCCCCGGCCGCTAGCCACGAGTTGCGCGATTTTACTTGCGCACCGTATGGGAAAATAGGCATTACCCCTTTACCTGGACCAGTTTTTGGGTTGAAGGTAAGGTGATGACTTGAGGGAAGCAAGAAGAACAAATAAACTTGAGGAATTTGGATACGAGAAGGGTAAACCGTAAAATCGAAGAACCTGGGACGGACGAGGCCGAAACCTGAATTTATGATACAGAGACCCAAGGGAATCTCCGGAACGAAGGCTAAATAAATTTTTAATCCGGTTAATTAGACACTGAGATCTTTTACAGCTCCATAATAATTGTTATTTTTTCAGTTTTTCAATGAAAATTACTAATATACTCGTATTGCACAAATAATACCTACTACTTTTTATAAAACGTAAAAACGTCCACGTGACTACAATAGTCAATTACACATTTGTAATTAAAAATCTCTTGTGATATAAATCCTCTTCTTATAACATAAATCAATTCCTTTGTCTTTTTTTAAATAAGCAAACAATTGTTTTTAATTGCGCTCTCAATTTAACAATATCGTCATCTACAAATTATACTGACCTAATTATTGAAAAATATAGATTCACCAATTACCATTCAATTATTATTTTTATGTAACACTGACAATTTCTTTTCAATTTCCAGTTGTCTCTAAAACTTTAAATAAAATTACGAAAACCTAAGTTCCAATTGTGTCATTTAGAATTTTCACACTTACGATAAAAACAGTGAATAAACTTTACCTACATTGTTCGTTTTAAAATGCCATTAACAGGCAATGTCTGCTTTTGTATATTTTGTAGATATACCCATTAATACTTGTACATCATATTTCTGTCTTATTTCAAATATTAAAAAACAACACAATTTTGAATTAACTTGAAATTATATAATATTCTTAAAAACTTTCAGAAATTAATAAAACGTTTTTATAAATACTACTAAACCTCCTGCTTTTTTTCCTGATTTTTTTAAGATTACAAAAATATGGTTTGTCTGCAAAAAATTATGGTACAACGACGTAAAACATAACATTTCGCAAAGTGTAGAGAAAGTATGGATCCAAGTATTTTTTATTAAACTAATCATTTTCTAAAAAAATATTTTGCGATTATTAATATTAGGTACATACTCTTATAATCCGTTTTTAATTAAAATACAGACATCACTTAACTCTTATTATAGAAAATGAATAGAAAAAGGTATTTTTGAAAACTATAGTCCATAAAGTGTACGAGTAAGAAAGTGAATGCTCCATCCTTTTTGAATTGTTAGGTACTCGTAAACCAATCGTATCAGTGAAAAAATTACACTAAACATTGTTTTTTTCGTAGTTTCATGTACTTACCTATTATATTCAGCTTTGATAAGTTATGGTACCTATTTTGAGTTGATTAAAAAACACAAAATATTTTGCACGCGACTGTATATTTTCTTAAGTAAATAGTATAATACTTTTTCAGACAATGATTGTATTTCAAACACAAAATTCAGTTTCAGTAGGTAATAAAGAGATAGGGAGGTATATTTTTTCCAGCTAATTTAATATTATTGTTATGGGTCTTAAATTGTAATTAAGTATAATAAAAAATAAATTATTATTATAATAATTACAATTTAATTCTGTGCGATCAAATAAAAAATAAATTAGAGTAGGCGTCAATTAAATTCCACAGTTGGCAACACATTGACTGGGAATCTGGACTGGAAATTTTCCACACAAATTGAAAGTGAAAATGACCATCCACCGTTTTCCTCTTGTACAGCAATAAAAAATTTCTGCTCTAAAGTGAACCTTATTTCACTCAAAAGGAATAAAACGCAAACTTGTCAAAGTTTCCGCTGACATTTGATTGTCAAAAATCAGGATTGCCATCTGAAGGACTTTAATCACTGCCTACTCTAATTTATTTTCTTTTGATCGCACGGTATAATAACAATATTAAATTACGTAGAAAAAGTTACCTGTCTATCGTTTTTGCTTATATTATTTTAGTAAAAAAGCATTTCCGTCGGTATTCTGCTTCGAAAAATTCTAATAATATCTTATTATTCTAATAAGCGGTTTGTATTATAATATAGTCAGCAACACCAAAACTGTATGTACAGCGTCTTTAATTCTTGACCAAAGATGACCTTTCATTCTCCTATTACTAGTAAAAAAAAATATTATGAAAAAAAATGCATTTTTGGTAAACAAAAGTGTAAAGCTACAGACCATAACATAATAAAAGGTTTGCATAATTAATTATTTGAGATACTCGTATTTATAAACAAATATGTTTTGTTTATCATTGATCCTGGATATCTAAAGTCAGTTACTTCAAAAATTGTTTTTTTATACAAACACAGACACCACCTGCAACATGTTTTGCCCAAACTTGCAAATGTGTGTACATAATAAACATTTAATCAAGGTTTTTTTTCTGTAATTATACCCTTAGAAGCTGTTCTCAATTATTCTATTACTGAAGAGTAAATTTTTAGATAAAATTTGTATTCTCAAACAGTAGTGTATTTGTAGAAAGCGGCGGCATGTAAATGTTTCTTGTGTTACAAATATAGCAAACATTTATTTATCCCTTGTGTTTCAACTGAACTTGTTTTCCGACCAGAACAAGGAATGAATTTAAATAACAAACAGCTACTTGCAAAATGTTGGCTTTCGTTTTTTTTCCATTCAGATTCTTGCAAATGAAATTAATTTTCACAACGAAACAAAAATTGTATCGTTCGAAATTATGTAAAAAGATAATAATTATAAATTTTTCATAAGCGCCTAAAATTTGTGGATGTAACTTTCACGCACAATTTTATTAACTCAATAATTAGAGATATGAGTATATCTACATGCACTATAACAAAAATAAAAATGGGATATGATCTGGCTGGTAAAATAAAACATGTTGGTAGAATATTACTTTTTTTATTATAATTTTGTACATTATATTTACAATTGTATATACATTTAAAGATTATTTAGGCACTGACTGAAATATTTGCTAATGGAAGATATTATTGTGACTAGCAATAACAATTTTTAAAATCTAGAGAAAAGTATGTAAAATATGAAATAATAAAAAATACTAATAAGAAGATAAGACTACAAATAAAATACAAATGATAAATAAATTAATAAAAAATGAAATGCTAAAAGAGCAAATATGTTTAAATGTCGATCATATTTGCTTCAAAAAATAGCACAATACTTAAGGATATAAGTACCTAATTTAGTGTTTATTAGACTTAAACTCTATTATATTAGATTTGGTTTTTATTTAATTACGTGAAAAACTATAACAAGTGTTATTTTTAAACAAATAAATGACTAATAAAAAAATACGTTTAATTAAACCGGTCAATTTGACTAACACCGTGCCTTTAATTAAATTTCTAATCGGAGTGGCGTGTAATATAAAACTTAAGTTGCAACACTGTTTAAAATAGAAACAGAGAGTATGAAATTTGTCATATTTTCTGTCTCTACATATTTCAAGAGACCACTTTGATCATAAATTTAAAACTAGGAACGGTACAAAACTTTTCAAATATGTACTTGGTAATTCTTTCCAACTCGAAAATACTGCTAGAAAAATATCTTAATTATTCTAAGCAGTCTTTCTAATAACTCTCGACAATGGAAAATAAAAAACAAAAATCACCCTACAGAAAAATCCACAGCCAACGAGACTAACAATATTGTTCAATCATTTTGAAACATATAACAGCTTGCCTGTCCATTTAACATAATATTTCAAACGTAAAGCACTTTGTTCAACAATCCAGTCGTAATTTTATTATAATATAAAGCTATATTTTAGAGTCCACCGGAAATGAATTATTGATATGACAATTGCACACACTTGAGCAACAATTAAAAATTTAGGAAATTTGGTGCTAGCAGGCTGATGATGCGTCCCAAGTTCTACTTGTCGATTGCAAATTGGGCGGTTGTGGCGCCTGTTGTTTACTAGCAGCTACAATAATTCACAACAATGACAAATCGGTTATTTTCACAACGCAAAAAGCAACAAAATCTGACCAGCTCATGACATGTGGTTCCAGACAGTCACATTTTTACGCAATAAGCTTATGTTAGGGTAGGAAGCAATATACAACTATTGCATAAAACAACAAAAACAAAACATTCCCATTAGGTAATATTATGGAAAAAACAAAATGAAACGTATTTACAGAAAAATCAAAAAGTGTTCCAATTAAACAAAAGTCACCAGTAAATAATGTTGTTAGTAGTCATGCAATGCCAATGGTGAACATGCAGCTGCAAGTCCGTTTAGCAATTGGAGTCTGTCTCAAAGAGAAAATGCCAAAAATGAAAAAAAAAATAGAAAAACGAAAAACCCAACTACGGTTAAAACGGAATGATGTATTATCTTAATTTGTTTGATTTTTACAAACAATAATAAACTAAGCCACGACATTTCAATGCAACACCTATAATAATTCATACAATAAAAAAATGTTAAGAAGCATGCTCACATGTTGATTGTATTAAAATTACATGGTATTTAATTTCTTTTATCTGCTAATTGGTGATAATAACGCAAAAAAGACGCACTTGAATAATTGAATGACCTGACGCTGGATATATTTGCAAAAAAAGTAAAAACAAAGATCCAAGACGAGCTAAGGTAAAAAGTAGTTACACCTTTTTCTACCGATATATTTTTTGTACCGACCAAACTCTAAAAGCTATAAAAATTATATTAAAGTTTTTAGTATTTTTATAACAGAAAGGAACAATTAATTTACAAGTAATTATCAGTGCACTAAGTGCCTCTAAGAAATACACTAAATGTAGAGTTAAGTACAGAAATCGGTATGACGTATGTGTAATTATTATTAAACGCAAAACTAAACAAAGGAATAACGTAGAAATTGATGAGACATTAAAGAACCAGTTTAAAAAATATACATATTTAACGGATTAAATAGTAACAAAGTACACCTGTGGACATTTAAAGCACGCATTTTTTACATTTGATAAATAAAATTATTAAAAATGTCCAAAAAAAAACAAGTAGTCTACAGATGCGATACGAGATTAAACAATAGTAGTTATTTATTGTTAAAACTAATAGATTATTTTCTTGATGTTACTAATTAAAAAAAGTTGTTAGCGACGTCTCAATTTATTAATAAATCTTCTTTAAGGGATTTGTGACGTTAATTTATACCGAGTGGTCCACCTAAGACTACAAAGTGATAAACTCAAAGTACAACCCAAAGAACATTCTTACCTGGAAAATATGTATGTATGTAACATGCACTCTTAGTTTATCAAGCTCGTAGTTTTATGTGGACTACGTTATTTACGTAAAGGAAAGATGCTCAGTATTATTATGCAAAATTTTTCTTATATTTTCTCGTACAGACAACAATTGCGAGAAAAAACGAAAAATAGTTTTTATCCCAATTTATTTACAATAAAAGTTAATGAAAATTATCCACTTAACAAATCACACGACTATTTTATGTTACTTTTTAAACTATCAACATAAATTTCTCAAAAGATTATGAAATTACACCCAGTCAAGATCACAGAAGATATTTCAGTAATAATAACCAAGAAAATTAAAACTTTTGTCGTAATGAATAACAACTTTTTAACTTGTAATGTTAATGTACTAATTAATAATCATTCATTTCAATATTTTTTTGCAAATTATATATTTTGAGAGTATTCATTATTTCATTTGCAAGACTACAACAAAATTTATGTAAATTTCGCATGTGTTATACAAAAAAAATCCCGTTTACAATTCTTGAGTCAAGATAATTTCACATCATCCCGTTTCAACCCCAGACATTTACCTCTCTCCCCAAATACCCACCTTGCTTACTTGCGTAAAATTTAAAAACATTCCTATACGGTGGCGGTTTAGGAAAAGTACTAGGGTCATTAAACATATGCTTGTATTTCTCTTCCAAATCCATCACAATCTTTCTATTCGACGTCATCGACGAATTTCTCGGTGGCGGGGGCGGCGCAAAATTATTACTTGGCACCGCCGGTGGCGCTCTCGATGGGACCATCCGGTGAGGCGGCAGCGGCGGCGTGTGATTGGGAGGTTGAGGTAACGCGGAAGGAGGTGGAGGCGGCGCATGATTCGGCGGTTTAACCGAACCGGTTTTCGAGGGTGGAAGAGGCAGTTGGTTGCCATGGGGCGGAGGTGGAGGCGGTTGTTGCGATGGTATAGAGGGTGGAGGAGCATTCGGTCGGCCGTTCAACGCCGGCCTTTGTCTGGGGCTTAAATTTCCGGTGGAATTTGCCAGACTTTGGCCAATGACAGATGACAGGTTGCGAACCGTGCCAAATTTCATAGGGACGTTAGCGTCAGGGCTTTGCGGCGAAGGTGTCCGGGGGCTGCGCATACTGTGGGCGCGGCCGACGGGTTTGCCGTTGATGACGAGTTTTTTCGGTGGAGCCACTGGTTTAGCTGAAATGTCTCTGTCAATATTAAAAATGATAAAATGATGATGAAATTACCGTTGAGTACTGGCGGTTTTGGAGCTAGATTTGGTTTTCCGTGACTGATCACAGGTTTGGTAGTTTGGTTGAAACCGTTTATTGAATCGGGACTATCTAACGTGCTTAGGTTGGCATTACTTTTGACTTTTCTATGGAGAGTGCTGTTTTGTTGTTGGAGGTTTGAGAAAAGAGAACTTTGATTTAAGTGTAAACCGTTCGTTGAGCCGACTTTTAATGAAGAGAGTTGACGTGTACCGTTTTCTTCGGGAATCTGAAATTCAATGTGAAAAAATTTAATTAAACAATAGACGGAATTTTATTATCTAACTTGTGGGAAATGTCGATTGCAAAAATCAACCGCGAATGACGATCCGCAAATAAATCAACAAAAATTAAATTTTAATTAAGATTTTAATTTTGATTTGAATATTTTTACAATTTAAAATAATCAAATAAAATATGTAAATTGCGTAATAAGACGGTCGTAATTTAGCAATAAAATGCTTTAATTGTTGTCCATATAATAACAAAACTAAACCATTAAGTAGACGATAAAAATTTCACAGTCATCAAATCATTTAAGCAATTTTTAATTACGTATTAAATCAAAGTCTACATAAAAGTATCAATGCACTAAATAATATCAAATATGATTCACGAATTTTATATTTATTTGATGTTTGTTTTTAAAATTTATAAACAAAACCTCTAACTCTAAACAATAAATAATGATGATTACAAACTTTAATGTTTGTTAGGTACCTCCTATTTACTCAGATTTAAAACCATTTTTTTTAATAAGAGTAAAAAGTTTGTACCTGCAATAAAAATTATTGTGTATTATCAAAACCAAATGTGTAGAAAAATCAAAATACAAATTTCAAAGGTTAGTTTGGTCCGTAGTACCGACAGATCAATTTTCCATTTGAAGTTGTGTTCTACATTAAGTGTGGTTTGCTTTTAACATAGAAAGAAGTAACAATTTTCCAAACAGACTAACCAATTTAAAGAATAAAAGTACATATTTTTGAATTTTAAATTTTCAATACACTCTTGAACAATTAGTAGCAAAAATTGCCTGAGCTCAAGCTACACATCTCAGGTATTTCAAAAATGATTTGTTAACACATGCAAAGTTCAAGCGCAGAAAATTCTATATTAACTATAGACTTGGTGAATAGTTGCAATTAATTGTTTGTCTTTTCATGCTATCTTTTTAAAATTGTACAAAGTACAAATCATACTAAAAGTTTTGCTAGGGCTGACTCGAAGCGTTTTTTCCTGGACTCGAGTCCCACTAAAAAGAGGCTAGATTCGCCACTGTCAACAATCCAATCGTTTCTAACTGCTGTATTTTTGTTTTCATTTTAAATAATGATGTATTTAAAATTTCTTATATTAATACTTATTATACTTATAATACTTATCTATCAAAAAAAAATTGACTAAACTAATTAAATATATTTGCAACTAATGTAAAAATCTACACACATTTACCACAATGTTGAGTTTTCCTCATTGATTAATAAAATCAAAAATGAAATAATATAGTGCACATACATATCCACACACAAAAAATATGCCACCGTTTTATTGTTGTGTTGCAATATCTTACAACAGTAACGCAATTACGCAATTTTTTCTTTACAATTACGAAATAAAAATATTTTATCCATCCAATTTTCAAGAGATCTTTAAATTGATGTTATCATTCCCCGAATTGCTAGTGTAATCCTCACATCACAAGATCATTAAAACTGGAAAAAATGATAACTAAGTTGTTCTAATTTTACGAAATTTATGGCCAATCAACCTTGGCAAATTATACTAAAGACAACAATAGTTAAGTAATAATGGAAATAAAATAAAAACTACGTTTTTTTAACCACACAACATACATTTAGAAAAGTTATCTTTACGAAAAATAAAAGAATTTTGAAGTAAAATCACAATTAGATACTATCACCACAAAATTAAGATTTCAGTGAAGCGTAATACAGGAATCATACATTGTTGCAAAAACAATTTTTCCACAAGACAACAAGAAAATCAAGTTCCGCAAAACCATAAAATTGCCAATTAATATAAAAAACATTTTGAAATAATTTCAACTAGGATATTGTTATTCCTGGTGTAATTTCAATTGTCCTTGGCAAAAATTATGTTCATTTCATACTTACAAACCACAATCGTAAAATTCTTTGTTTTACAAGATTAGTTTCATTAATTTATTATAATGGCAAACTTGTGCTTTTTTATTGTAATCATTAAACAAGAAAAAATATTATCGCTAAGTCAATAAAAGCAATAGAATTTTTGTGTATTCCGTCAGAAATATTGAAGTGTTTACTCACTATTATTATAATTTATTTTTTAGATAAACGTCCACTGGATAAATGTCATTAGTTAATCTTGGTCTAGAGCATCAAGAAAAAGTCACGGACATCTCCAACGGAAATTTGCAATGATAACCACAAAAATCAAGGATACTTCTTTATCGTCTGCACTTACATTTCTGACCGGAGCCGGTGGTGGCGGCCCTCGGTTTTTATTATCACTTGCCATTTGTTTTTTCAATTCATTTTGTAAACTACTCGAATTCTTGACCGGAAGCCCTACTTTCCCATTATTAACACTATTCGCTGGCAATTTCCCCGTCGGTTTCAACTTGGGCATCCCTCCAGCAAACAATCCGCCTAAATTTAACCCATTTGGAGTCGACGGTGGGGTTCCCCCCACACTCGGCGGACCTGAACTGTTGGAATTGTTGTTTGTCTTCCCCCCTAGAACGCAATTTAAGTCACTTAAAAATGTAAAAACTGTTGTTATCTACCTATCACTGGCGCACTTCGGTCATTCGTTACAGTTTTCTTCAATCTGGTGCCTTTCTGGATCGATTTCAATAGCGCCGCTCGATCGTCCGGTTTGCCGGCTTTGGGGAAGGATGTTGGGGCCGGTGGTGGAGGCGGCATCATGCCAGGGGGTGGCGGCGGCGGTGGCCCCGGCATTGTTTCTTCTTGAGCTACAAACTGGAATTCCAATTAAATCGCAGCTACTTAGACATGCTAATGTATGGTACGCCCATTAATGTAATTATTTTCGGTTGAATCATTTACCACGCATTAGCATGATGAAGCAACGATTGGTTCAATAACCGCCCCTTTTTTCAATCAAAAGGTACCGATAGATTATGCAAATTGGACAAGGCGGTTGTAATGTAATCAAGGACGTTTCAATCGCCCTAATTTGATAATAATCACGGAAGAAACCTAGATAATTATTTTTTGCAGATACAATTCGTTATGAACGGTTATAGTAATAACAAACTACAACTCTTTTATTAATTTCATTAATTAATAGCTGTCATGTAAATAATGATGTAATTTTGCCGTTTTAATTCATAAAATAGCTTTTTCCTTATTAATACAAAAACATAACCCAAAAATTATTAATATGACACAAAACTTAACATTTGGCACAGCCAGCTAGACAAATTTTCGTTTTGAATTTTGAAAAAAAATAACCCCCGAATAAAATTCGCTTAATTGTTGGTAATAGTAAATCAATGGTATGATTAATAGTCGATTATTTGCTCATATTTGGGGGCCCCATTTATGGCAAAATTGCCAGGTTTGTGTTGACACTTACTCGTCTGTGCCCTAAATAAAATTAATTAAATAAATCAAGGATTTAATTTGGTGTTTTCACGTATACGAAATGTTTACTTTTTCGTCCTATTTATCTCAAGTAAATACCTCTTAATAGGTAAGTTGACAACGTATCCAATAAACCTACCTACTGACAATAAATAAATATAATAGGCTGGTGGCCTGGCCTTCACCACATCTCACATCACTTTATCACTAAATATAATTTGTAACACATTATTTCAGATAAGTTTGAGGAATGTTGCTATTTTTTCAAACTTTCTCCACTGGATAGACGTTTTTGGGAAACCACTATCATCAAATATGGAGGATTGACATATGCCGCGCACGCTCTGTGGGTAATTCAAGCACTATTTGGTAATCCACTGTAGAAAGGGTTTATTTTATTTTTTTCAATTTTTTTATCACTCTATCCACTTTGTCTTATCACTTATCACTCGAGATTGAATAATCCAACATTGAGTATTTCAGTTACCATTTTTATTCGCATTAAATAAATATCATTGAAGTTTTTTCATAATTTTAAACAGTTCTGGAGACTACAGACATACCAATTAAAAAAATTTCAAAAATGTTAGTAGAGAATTCTAAAATAATGAGCTGTAGACTAAAACATTATCCAGAAATAACAAATTTTCTTGATGTGAATTAAATAAAAAACTCAGGTCTAAAAAAACATTTTCAGACTAAAAAAGTTAGGGGGACTAAAAGAAGTATGTAGAAATACTAATTAAGAAATTTTTGTAGGCTTGAAATGAGATTCTAAATCGGAATTTTCGAATTTCTACAATGCTAGTAGAGAATTTTCAAAATATTCAGACGTAGACTAAAAACTATCCAGATATAGCAATTTAAAAAATTCTCTAAATTTACAAAACGAAACAATTTTAATAAAAAAATCAGATCAAAAAAATTTAAGTATAACATTTTCAAAATATAAAAAAAATGTAAAAAAAGTTGAGGAGACTAAAAAAACTACTTAGTTATTTGTATTTTAAATCTTTTTTTATTAGCGAAAATGCAACACGAACAATCTAGTTTGGTAGTTATTATTTATTATCTAATAAATCTTTTAGTGTTTATACATAATAATCATAATTTAATAATTTTTGTTTGTCTAAAAAGTTTAAGCACACGTTATTATGTCTTTCATTTTTTATATTTTTTTGACTAGTAATTTTTCTCTGATGAAAATTTCAATAATAATCACATTACACATTTGTTGGGAGACTAAATATGCCACTCATATGACTAACTTAGATAAGATAGTACGTTCTGGCTTGAATTTAAAAAAAAAACAAAACTGGCAGGTATTTGTTTACAGTATATAAAAGCACGTCAGACGTCAACAAAATAAAGAGAAACTTAAATAATAAATAAAATATTAAAAAAAGGAATTTTCTCATTTTGCGAAAGTTGGATTTGCGGAAAAAACTAATTACGAAAGAAATTTAGCAATAAGCGTGATAATTTGCCATTTACACCTTATATCCCTTTGTGAAACACGAAATGTTAAATAATTGAGAGGAAAAATTAAAGAGGGAATGGCCACACGCTTGGTTGGATTTTGTAGAGACCTACCCGAAGTTTTTAAATAAGAATTTCCCCATGCGTTGTGGTAAATAAATACTCGGATATTTCATCAATTTATCATACAAGACTGTTTGAAGGAATTTTGTAACATTTCCTGCTATGTAGACATTGAATTAGTCACAGCGGTTCATGATTCATAATTTTGTTCCGAAAATGTAACGAGAAATGTTTTGGAATTTTGAAAATGGTTTGGTTACTTTTTTGAGTCATTGCACCGCTTTTTTACTTTATTGTTTGTTAACATCATCTAAAAATACAATATATGTATAATATTTGTTATTGTAACTCTATTTATGTATTTTATGACTATAATCTTATAAAACATTAATTAGTTATCAAAAATCCCACTGAACTAAATGTGTTAAAAATACGATAAATCGATGAAGTACAATTTTCAATTGACCATTTGTTTCTTGTAGTCTTATTTTTGTTATATTTTAACATACTTATTCATTATTTTCAATTTATTTAGTTTCTCAATTTTTGTAAGTAGCACGATAGTACACGTAATGTAAATAAATAATTTATTCTGAATACACACATAATATACTTATACTTTTTTGTAAAATATGTCCTACAGGTAATAACAATAATTACATGTAGTGAAATGAAATAAAGTTCTATCCAGAAGTGTCAATACTTTTCGGAATGAAAAAATCGATTGTTTTATACAACTTCCTCGTTAGTTATCTCATCTGTTCAGGTATCAAAACATTTTGAAGGTTCTTTTAGATATTTAAAAAAATTTCGGCATTATTTCTATTAGGTAGAACAACTTAAAACTTAAGTGTGTAAACCAAAAAATTTGTGAACATAAAAAATATTGTCGCCAAAACGTGGGATAACTGAAATATCGACAAACACACAAAATTAATATTAAAAAAGTTACCTAGTTATTATTTCTGGTAAGCATTTATTTTGCAGAAATACAGCCAAATTCGGAATTCCCCTCTTAGAACAAATAAACACACAAAGAACACATTATGCAGCCCGCATCTGTCTCATCTCTTCCTTAATACCACCGATTTCCCTACTCTCCACATTATGCTTATCAATAAATTTCGTTATCAACTCTGCTAAAATCTCCGGATTATTCAGATGAAAATGATGTGTGCCTTCCAACCTATGATACTGACAATCCACGCTACTTTTTTTAAGCACATCTAACACATCGTAAAAATTCTTTTTAACTTCATAATACGAGCCACTAATGGCTTTGCCGATAAATGCCGGACATGTGATCGACTTCGAAAGACTGATCGACTCTTCCTGGGGCCAATTCATCAATTCTCCCGCTTTCAATCGCGGATCTCGCGTGAAGTAGTACTTCCCTGGATTGTTTTTAGAGGGAGCGACATTGCGTTCGATTAAATGATGTGCCTGTTCGTACGCTACTGATTTGTTATTCGGGGCGCAGACCTTTTGCTTAATTTCTTCCATTGTGTAACTGGGGGGCTCCTCTTTGCTCCGTTCGAAATGTTCATATCGGGAAAAATTAGTGATGTTTCGGGCCATTCGCGGGATGTTGTTTTCGGCAATCATGGGTTTGGCCCCGTCGAGACAAATGAGGAAATCGACGTTTTTAGGATGGATCATGGTGTAAATGTAGGATGTTATACCACCCATGGAGTGACCAATAAGGGACACTTTAGACCAGTTGAAATAATTGACTAAATACTGAACTAGGATGAGATAGTCTGTAAAGTGGCAGTATAGGCCGCTCGGGATTCGCGAAGAGTAGCCATGACCGGGCCAATCTATGGCCAAAAAACCCACATTTTTGTTCAAAAGTGGAATTATTCGGTTAAATGAGCCGCAATTGTCCTTAAAATCAAGAAAATTATTGGTTCGAAAATAACCAAGTAACTTACCTGCCACCCATGGAGAGCTAGAACAGGTCGCTGGTCCGTGGGGCCCCACCACCTGCCTGCAACGTGGCCCCACGGCACAGGTATCCTAATTTCCTGGTAATTAACAGTTGATTTATTTTTAACAAAAATTTCCAATTTCGGTAGAATTTGCTTTAAGACTTGCCGATGGTGTAGTGACAACATTTTTAATAAACTATAAGATTGAAGGATACTATTTATTAATATATAAACATGATGTAACAAAAATTGAGGTTATGTACGTCACAATCGAGCGACTAAGGGGCAAAGTCCTATGCATACGTTATACAACATAAACGTAAGCATGAAATTGCATTTCGGTGTTTTTTAAATAAAAGGGAGTTTAAATAATATAAACAGTTATTTTTGGACAATTTATTTACTGCTATTAGTACAATATAAGACGTTTGTACAACTCGTTGCAAATCTTCAAGTTTTCTGGGTACCTATTGAGGAAAAAAATTATTTAGCATTATGTTAACTGCAACTGAAAGGTTACAGCGAAAATCTATATGTATTGTTCTACTCTTAAGAGTAGATCAAAGCTTAATTCTAAAAAAATCCAATTCACCTTATACTAAAACTGATTGTGCACATTAGTAAATGAATAAAAAAAAGTTAGTATAAGCTGTTTTTAACATGGATATGAAAGAATACAGTGACATGCATTATGTCTAACAATATTCAAAAAATACATATAGATTAAATGAAAACTGTTACTGTGAATCTGTTGAAAACAAGAGTAGATAAGAAAGTCTTGAGTTTGTATATTTTTGGCGTTCTACGTACCAAATTCCTACATTTTCAAATTTCAAGGTTTGATCTAATTGGGAGCAGATTTTCGGTCTGAATGAACAATGTAAATCGCCTTGGTGGAACTAATAGCTGATTTTCAACAAGGATCTGAGTGAGGAGTCTTCTACATAAAAAAAGAAAACAATTTTTCATTCTTCAAGAGAGTTGTTAATAAATTTCTCAATTCTCTTGATGGATGTATTTTCACAATTCATTTCGTGTGTTTTATTCATAGCTGATTTCATTGAAATAAGCTTCAGAGAAGTGATTTAAGGTAACTTGAGAAAATTCTATTTCTTATATAAACTTCATAATTCATCCCAAACCTCTTGTTCTTAACCCTTTTTAAACAAAGAAAACGATATTAGTGTTGATATCAATCATTTATTAGATCTTATCTAAGTGTCACAGATTGAACTCAAGAAAATCAAGAAGGAAGAACAAAAAAAAACTACACTACATATTCAAAACTTTTAACCATTTTTTTAGGCATCAAGTTTCGAATCATTTATACAAAATCCACGATGACGTTTAAAACTCGCCAACATTCAAACGCGCGCATGAAAAATAAACCAATAAAAAACACTCATGGAGATTACACCAGAAATATCATTATTAAAAACCAAATGTAAAAAATATACATTTACTACTGGCATAAACTCCAATCGAAATATTACAACTAAGGTTTATCTCTCCAATAAATGCAGTGCCCCCACGAAGTTTAATAACGACCTGAAATTAACATTAAAATAAACACGAATTAAAACAAAGCAACACCACATACCAAAAATAAATCAACGAAAATGTTATTTAAATGCAATTTTAAACCGATTTGCAATTCAACATTTTATCGCTAAATTTAAAATTGCACCGGCGTCGCAAAACTTTAAAAAGGTACTTACGAGGCGAATAACTGCGAGATCTCGAACGGTCGTAACGACGTCGCCTGTAATAGGGCGATGGAGAACGTCTATGGCTGTATCGCGAACCACGACCATAATAATCACTTTAAAAAACAAAAGACACCGAAATTAAAATTACGTCATTTGAAAAAATTGCAAAACTTACTCTCTATCCCGACGTCGATCGTAACGATCATTATATTTACTGCAAAAAAGAAACAACAAGTTATAATTCTGAATCAATTTTAAAATAAAAATGTGGGAAGGAGCCTTTACGAGTGTCTTCACTTCACGACACCAGTTCTATTTCCTTCAAAGTTATTGGAACTTGAAGCTCTTTAAACTTTTTATACCAAGAATCAAAAAAACATGATACGGACGTGTGTAACATGAAGGAATGATTCTTGGATATTATGAAAATATGTAATTTACTTACATAAAAAAAACCTTTGCAAATATTCTAAAAAATGTTAAAAAAAGAGACAATACGTCAAAATATATTACTAAAAATACTATTTTTATTATATGAAGTAGATAAGAATACTTACTATGTAGGTTTTCCCATGTATATTCCAGGCGTCGGTGTATGCGCCCTTTCTGTGATAGAATAATCGACTCGAATATTTTTCCCGTTTATTTTCATACCAGAACATTGATCTTTGGCTACTTTTGCATCTTCCGTATTTTCAAAATACACAAACGAGAAGCCTCGTGAGCGTCCAGTCTAACAAAAATAAATAACTTTTAAATTTAACAGATTTTAACATTCAAAAAAGTGTAAAAAAAAAAGAAAAACATGTCGTAGTGTAAACGGAGCTGAGCATTCAGGAAAGTTAAAAATGTCAGCACGGGACACTATCTACGTTCTTCCTGTGCGCATCAAGAAAATCTGCATTGAAAGCAAGAATCTCTCAAATAACACAGGGTAGTGTTAAACAACTAGTTTTCAAGTATCTAATTTACCTTTGCATCAATGACAACTTGCACCCTTTCAAGCGGTCCATATTTGGAAAAGATGTGATATAGTTCGTCCTCTGTGGTGTAGACGCTCAATCCGAAAACGCCAAGACACCGTGAAGGTTTTGGATTGTCCCTGGTCCCCAAATGGCGCCTGCGGCTAGACATAGGGCTATGTGAGAGCGACCTCCGGTCGCCGGGGGAACGCGAGTGACTACGTGAATATCTCGAGGACTTGTAACGTCTGTCTGAGCGTGATCGACTGCGCGACCTGAAAGGCCAAATCAAAAAAATGATCTATGATATGGTTGTACGAAATACGTACGACAGTCAAATCTTTGGTGCAAAATTCGTCGACTCGAGGTACGTTTCACGTGAAGCCAAAAAAAAGAATTAGAAAAAAAATAAAACATACGTACATTTATTATTCAAATTAAAAGTTGAGGAAAACTCGCTGTGATTCAAATAAAAAAATCGTCTCCAACCCAGACAACGCTTTAGTCCGATTATATGCGACATGTGCCACGTACACACGGGAGGGATACTTTTTTATGCTTACCTGTATCTGCGATCTTCTCTGTCTCTATCGTCGCGGCGCCTTTCTCGGTCTCTGTCCCCATCTCGATATGACATTTTTCGACTCCGACTCGGACTCCTAAAAATAACACAACATATTAAAATTAATTAAGGTTGCAAATGCAAATGTTATAATAGTACTCAAATAAAAAATAAACATTCAGAAAGTAATGTTTCCCTAGGACACCGAAAAAAAAAAAAGATAAGCATTTCCCTCGTAATTTTCTGATCCATCCTAGTATACTCTTTTTTATAGCGATATAACTTATTCAATAAATAAAACTAAATCAACAAGTAAGAGAAATTAAACAGAACACTTATAGTACACAAAGATAAAATTAATGTAGGTTAACGTTATATATTTTTATATCATTCTTTTTATCAAAAATTGATTGAAAAATCAGCTTTATTTAACACTAAATTAAAAGGCCATTGATATTGTCTGAAAAAATTAAACAGATATAATTTTTCGCTTAATTAATTTAATTAACACATAATTAAAAAGAAACAAAAATAGCTCTATTAGGTTATATAATGTTCAAATAGTCGCCAACAAATTTTTTGAGTGTACAACTGAATCGTTGAGTGGAAAAAAGGAACTGCAGTTTTTTTTTTCGAAAATGAGTTTAGAAATCATTTTTTTCTTTTCAAGCTATTCTCTAACGAATGGGTGACAGAAACGGTATTGGTTTTAATGTTGAGTGGAAGAGGGAAACATTTAAACGTTTTAATGTTGGGTGGAAGAGGGAAACATTTAAATGTCGGGCGCCACTGTCGAATCACACATAGGTACTTACGACCTGTTTTGATTGTTGTATACGACCTTCGAAAACTAATGCTTTATTATGCATACACTGTGTGAATTTCAAAAACTTGCAATCGGCAATTTCTCTCAACTGAAAAAGTTATTAATAATCACTCAAAACCGTTTTGGTGGTTCCTAGGGGGAATTAAAATGACATGATAAGTGACACACCTCCACCCACCATTGAATGTAATAAAAAAAAAATGAAAATTTAACGTCTTCGTATTTGAATAATTGGATAAATGGCTTTACCAAATAGGCTGTTGTATGACATTTTTGAAAAGCGCTTGTTATGGGCTTTCCGACGATCACAAGTCGTGCCATTTAAAATTTTCAACTTAAGGTGGCTGTGGCGTGAAGGGTGGGTGGAGGAGCGTCACACCACCGAAATGGTTTTGAGTGATTCTCAATAACTCTTTTAGCTCTAAAGATATTTTCGATTGCAAGTTTTAAAATTGACACACTGTATATGTCCCAGAACATGAAAAAATATGTATTGTACAAGGGTTGGCTTATACAGACTCTATTATAAAAAACGCCCCAAGCCATAATTCCAATATTTTTAAACTTATGACAGTACTTACTTCTTAGAACAAAGTTGAACATTTTTTGTCATATCTTTAAAAATAATTGAGTTATGGCTTTTGGGGCGTTTTTCATAATACAGGTAGGTAATTTTGCATGCGTTTAATCCAATTTTCCCATGTCGACTGGAGCACCTGCAAAACATGTATTCTGAATGCATAAGCCGCTTATTCAGACGGCTACAGTTTAACTTTCGGGATCATACGCATAAATCCATTGGTCATGTGTTATGATGTCATAAACTATATTGAATCAAAATTCAATATAGTAATCGTATTTTTTCAACATTTCTTTTGACCTATTGACACGAGCTTTTTTTGAGCGATTCTTAAATTATGCGGGATCCAATGCAAAAATATTTGACGGCTAAATTTTAATGCAATTTTGAATGTATGCTAGCCCCACTAGTGCCCAAAGATGCCTCAATCTCACGGTAAGTCACATGAGGTTCTTGCAAAATCATTTCACGCACAGTGTCAATGTTTTTTGGAATAACAACCGATTTTGGACGATCTTCACGAAATTAGTCAATGAGCGAACCACGGCCACCATTGAATTGGTTATATCACCGTGTTTGATGGTGCTTCATCATCAAAAAACGATTTAAATTCATCAATACACTGTTGTTGAGATAAATCACGACGAAAGTTATAAAAAATAACCGCACGGAAATGTTCACGAGTTAATTTCATTTTTTTTGACCGAGATAATTTTTGTAAAGTCACTGTAAACAATACATCAAAACGATCTGAGTAAGTATACGGTAAAAAAAGGCGAATTTTACAAGACGTGTAAGACGTCAATTGCCAAATGTCAGCATATTCCTGAAATATAAAGGGTAACCCTCGTATAAACAACTGCTTGCTTGACCAACAACGACTCAAGAAATCAACGATGAGAAAAATAAATATCTACCTACCATTATTACCACTGTTCGTTAATAAAAGTTCTTTTGTTTAAAATAATTTCCAATTTTTATGAGTGGAAAAAGGAAAGATTTTTCTAACTTCGAGCATCTATTGTCCGGTTTCTAAAACGATTTATCCTTGGATTTATCGTTAGATAAATTTTAATGCTTCGATAAAGGTAGCGCTGAGCTATCGTTCCAGAATCCAGACCTACATAACTGTTACATTATTTAAAATAAATTAACAATTTTTTGTCTGATTTTATTGTTTAGTTTGTTTTTCAATTTTGACGGAGGAGGAGGGTTAGTGCGAAATGTTATGCAAGTTTTTCCTTTTTCAGCTATAAATTTATAAAAATTTCTTTCATTCAATTATCACAAACTCATATAAATGTTATCATATACATATTAACAAATTCAAAAACGTTGGCACAGTAAAGAGTAATATATTATAATTAATTAAATTTATTTTTGTGATTGTTTCAAAAAAAGTAATTTGCATAAAAAGAAAAATGTGAATAAACGTTGCCTTGAAGCCACAATCTAAGAATAAAATATCTTATTCCTAATTAATATTTAATAATAAAATATAAATTAAACAGTAATTTCTTAAATTAACTCGTTCTAAAATTACTTATCCAAACAAAGATAAATAAATATTGAGGGTTTAAAAATATTACAAATGAATGAGAATCAGAATAAAACCCAATTTTCGAATAAGCCTTGCTGAATAGATAAAAAAATCGATGTTGCAGAGCTGCAGCATGAGGAAAAATAACACAAAATGATACATTTAACTTTAAAATTAGAAGTAAACAGAAGATAAAGATTTGCAAAACTTAGTATATTAAATTAAATGTCCGAAACTTATCTAAAAAATATTGCTCTTGCTTAAATTATGTAAAATTCATTATATTCAACGAGGTGAGATCATTAAAATCGGTTTTTCCCATAAATAATCGTCTTGTTCACACACAACCAGACACTGATTGTAAAATACATCTTTCATATTTTCATATCCAGACTATTCTGTAAACCACTCAACAATTCAGCAACTATAAAAGTAAGTCTCACCTTGAGTAACTTTTGGCCTTGTGATTTCTTGGAGACTCTTCCCGCCTTGCGTGTGGCGAATGGTCTCGGTCCATCATTGGTTTGCGATCAATGGGTGAGCGGCTCCCCTAGAAACGCAATGTTCCATCAATAAGAGAAACAAAATTAGCAATTTACACTCAAAATAATTAAAAATTCGAACTACATTTCGACTCAAGGTCGCATTTAATGTTTAATGCCGTAATAAACGTAATCGGAGACGGCGATGAAACGATGCCGGCAACCGACGCGACCACATCAAGGAAGCAAACGGTTTATTTTTAAAGCAAAACAGAAATTAATCAATAATTACTCACCTCTCTGTCACTCATGGCAAAAAATTAAATAAATACCAGAAAAATTGGAAGAAAATTGAACAATTACTGAGTTTTTTTAATCTTAAACGCGAACTTCGCTACAAACACGCCAAACAAAACTTGAAGAATGATGGCGGCGAATAGCAAAATGGCGCTGTTGTCGCACGGAAATTCTTCTATTTACTCGATTTCTGATTGGCCGAGATTGTTACCCCTACCTACGTTTCCGGTGTGCGGAATTTAAATTCTATTGCAAATTTTTACGTTTCTATCAAAAATTAGCATAACAATTAGTTTATATTGGCCAGACTTATTGTGCAACAAACGGAAATTGTTATTATTTATTTTTAATTATAGAAATTTTTACGAATTAATGTTTGCATTTATATAGATGGCGCTTTACTTTTCAAAAGAGTGATGTGGCTTTGCGATGGACCTGTCAAAGTATGACAAAATGAATAGATTTAAGTTATTATATTTTGTGATATTTATAATAAGCTTGTATGAAGTAGATGCTCAAATATCCGATAAGAGATTATGCGTGGATGAAGAATGTAAAGGTAAAAAATTGGAAATTTGTGCCTAACCTAATTGATTTTGACAGTCAAAAACTGACATATTTTCGTTTTTAGTCCCCATTTCGCTTGCCAAGACTCTCTTGAGGTATTCTAGTCCCGACTCGAGAATCCTGTCGTTTGCCCCCAACGTTGATATAACAATTTACAGTAAATCAGCTGGTTCTCGAGAAGATTTATGGGGAGGCGAAATTAATGGCAAAAGAGGATACGTCCCTAAACATATGGTCAGAGAGACAAAAGTTCTTCAAAAACCGACACTTTTAGTCAATACTGAGTTCAGTAATGAGACAGATTCAAAAGAAGTGCCTTCACAAGTTGAACCAAACAATGTTCAAGAACCTTATGAAGTTGTAGATGGTACAACTATTTACCTAAATCCTCAAGATGATATCAGTCCTTCATCTACCGAGAGTCCAATTCAATCAACAGTTGTACCATCACAAGACGAGACAAGTAAATTCACTGGAAGAAGTATTTTGTCAAGTGAGCCTTTACAACCAGAGGCTGGGAAACCTTCAGATACGCAAAATGAGGAAAAGGAAACGACAAAAAATGAAGATATTGTAAATCCGGTGAATGTTGAAAGCACAAATCAAGGAAATAATCTAAGTGAATCTACAAGGGAACAACCTACAATTGAAGAAGCGTCAAAGGATCAAATGGGAGTAAAAACTGCAGATCCAGAACCTGTTAGTGAAGAAAATGTGTCACAGAACGAAGAAGTACTTTCAGCTGCAGATAAACAAGAAGAATTAGAAGAGGATGATGCAGATATAGACATAGATGAGGAAAATGAGGGTGAGGATGATGATGAAGATGAAGAAAGTGAGAATGAGGAAAACGTATCATCAGATAATATGAGGAATACAGAAACTGTTGTTCCAACCGACAGTAAGGAAAATGTTTCTAGTGAAAATGTAGAGAAAAAGGAAGAAATTAAATTTAAAGCAGGAAATGAGTTAAATCTGCTAGAATCTAAAGAAGATATTAGCAACGAAAAGGAACCTGTAGTGCGGACAGAATCAAAATCAGAAATTGTGGAGCCTAAAACAATAGACGTGAATGTTAATCAACTTTTAGTACCAACTGAAGAAGAAAAAAATGTTTCTAAAGTGGAAGAAAACGTTGAAAGTCCAAAGGAAGATATAATTTCTCTTGATATTGAAGCTACTACTTTAAGTCCAGAAATAGAAGTGCCTCAACCTTTTGATGACAGCATTGTTAGTGTGACACCAAATCCTGTAGAATCGGTGTCAGACGAGCCTAAAATTCAACTAGATGGAATTCCAACATTACCACCACTTGGACTTTTTGGAAGTCCAAATGCAGAACCAGTCCAGAAAGTAGAAGTAACTTCTGAAGTCGAAGTGAAACCGGAAACAGAACAGGAAAAATTTGAAGAAAGTAAGGAAGATTCGAAAATGGTTGAGGACGCTTTGAACAAACTACAGGAAGAAAAGGAAGAAGTTAAAGGAGGTGAAGAGGTTCCCATCCAGATGAGCGAAGAGAAAATTGAAGTTCAAAATAGTGAAGAGAAAATTGAAATGATTGAAGAAAAAATTGAGCAGGTACCCACGGATAGTGAAGAAATACCTCAGGGTAGTGAAAAGAAAATTGATGAGGAGCCGCAGAATAGTGAAGAAGTTGAAGAAAGTGGCAATTCTGGATTTTTCTCCGGAATGCTAGGTTTTATGGGGTTGGGTCCTGAAGAAAACAAGGATGAAGAAGAACAAATAACAAAAAAAGAATTTATTCCTCCAGAAGAACACATGACAGGTGATGACGTAATTTCCAAAGTTCGTGAAGGTAAGTTTATCAATAAAAAAAGTAGAAACACCATTTTTTCATTATTTTATTTATTGAACGTTACGTAAATGTTTTGACAGTTTAGAATTTGTACATTCATTGTTATCTAAAAATACTATTAATTATTGTGCGATTTTTTAATCTCTCGCCTTATTTTTGATTGTGATAGTGGTTTATTTCCATAACGTATGGAAAAATACTTTTATTTACATAATTGAAAATATGCCTAAACGATAAAAGACTCACTTTTGTAATACTGATATCCGTAGATCAGACAGTTTTTTTTGCAATATTTTCCGGATTCACCAAGAATGGAACATTCAAACACTCATCACATTTCACAATTCAATTTTATGTTTATTCAATTAATTTGAACCTAAAGGTGTTTAATTATTCCGGTGCTTATGAATTTTACATTTGTGTTGCACTGTTATTTTAATTAAAATTTGGCTCTGGTTCTGGCAATACACACGTTCTAAAAAAATCAAAATTATTTTAGTAACAATGTTGTTCGGTTTGGACGTGTTTTTGTGTAACTAAGACCGGTTTTTTTGTAGAAACATTTTGTGAGTCTGGTTCTTGTCCGAAAAATGAACTAAGTGATAATATCATGGAGGCTTTTGCATCCGATTTATTCAACTTTAATTCAAATATACTGCTTTATTTGGTAACAACAGCGATTTCTGTTATTATTTTCTTGTTTGGCTACATTGCGCTTGATAAGAGCAGACGTGAAGGCCCACTCATAGCTAAAATTAATAGTCTCGAGAAAGAATTGTTGATAATAATCAAAGAAAACCAGATTTTACAAGAAAAGTTATCGACTGATTCTGGTTACGAAACCAATGATCGTGTACCAAATGAAGTCGTTGAAAATTTGAAAAGGGATCTTTTGGACGTGACAAATATAAAAAATGCCCTCGAGGAACAGGTACAATCATTGGAAAAAGAATTGGAGAATTCCACCGAAGTCGGAATGGAATTAAATCGGATGTTGACTGAAATTTTAAGTTCTGAGGGTGGTAGCGATGTCCTAAAGGCTAACGTTGAAAATTTACAACGACAGCTTGTGGAGCAACAAGCGACAATTAATTCAGTTAACGAAACTTTGGCTGTTACGAATACAGAGAATCACGAACTTAGGTTAGAATTGGAATTGAGCAATAAGAAAGTTCTAGATTTACAAGCCGAGTTGGATAAATTGTTACTAAACATTCTCAAAATCGAAGAAGAGAAGGAGACTCAACAGAGTACTCTCGAAAATGAAGTAGCCACCTATCGCCAAAAATTCGAAGAAGTTAGTAACAAATTGAAACTGCAGGAGGATGGCTATAGTCTTGAAATAAAACAATTGAAAAACCAAATAGATCAAACCGAACGTAAATTAGAATTGAAGTCAAAAGAACACGACCAACTTAAAAACACGTTGAAACAAGTCAAGTCCCTTAAAAATTACGACGAATCGACTTTGCGCGACCTACTAGAAGTAACTGACATCAAAGCCGAAGTGGAGGTTCTCAGGTCGGAGAATCAACGATTCAGCCAAAAGTTGCAACAAGAACAAGAGTTGAAATCCAACTTTGAGAAGAAGGCACAGAGCGTTGAAGACGAACTCCGTGTCTTGAAAGAAAAATACGACGAAACCGACAAATTACGAGTCGAAAGTCAGACCAAACTCGAGGTCTTATCGAATTATTTCAAAGACAGAGAAGCACAATGGCAGAAGTAAGTATTTATTTAGACACCAATCCCTGTTAACATTTTACTCCCCGATGATCTTTTCTTTCTTCTTGTGATTATGAGATCATTATTCTCTGCGATTGTTTTCTTTGGTTTGGATTTACCCGGATCTGATTTCACCACAGAGTTGTTTTCCTCGCCTTTCGACTGTTTTGATTGTTTTGAAACCTTTTCAGGAATTTTGTTACTCTTTTTGAACGTTTGCTTTTTTTGAGCCGGCTGTTGACTGCCTCTCGGTTCGAATATCTTCTCGAGTCTTTTGCTTCGTCTAATCTTCGGAGGGCCCTTTTGACCGGTTTTGAAGACTTGGAAGAGTTCTTTCAGTTTCGCCATTCCTGTTTTTCTCCGGTCGGTCACAGGGTGTAGAAGGGTGGTTGGGGGACGCGTGATGAAAGAAGGATGGTAGTGCATGGACGAAGTCTTTTCTTTGGGGTATATTGCGGCCCGCCGTGGCAGATTCAAAGTATTGTTTCTTTTCAGTAAAAGATCATGTTTCAGTTCTTTAGGTTGAGGTGTAACTTTTCGAGGTTTCTGTTCTTCGGATCTAGTTTTCGGAACGGTGCGATGGTCACGTTTCGCGTTTTCGGATTTTGTTTTCGGTAAATTTTGTTTTGTTTTGTTGTCGGTTGTCTTCTCCGCTTTCTTTTTTGCAGCATCCATTAATTTGATAATGTTTTTTTTAACGAGCCATTGATAATCTTCGGTTTTTTTATCAGTGGAAGGTTTGCTTTTCGAGGGCACCATCAAAAGTTCGTTCAGTTCTTTCGCACTTAGTTTCTTCGAACTCGTTTTAGTGGCTTTCGGTTTTATCATCTCGCCTTTATTTTTGTTCAGATTTTTTTTCAATTTTTTTAGGTCTTCTGGAGTGACTACGAGCATATCATTCTGATTGACTCGCCGCTCATTCGTTGGTAAATCAGGAACCGAATAGAATTTTCTCTTCACTACTTTTCTTCGTGGTTTATCGTTCATCATTTTCATATTTTGTATTACTTCGGAACTTCTAATTTCACTAAATATGTCATAAAGCCGAAAAGTCAATTTGTTTATTTTTTGACATTTGGCACTTTTTAACGAGCTTTCGATTTTTTTTAAGGGAAATAAGTAAGCATGAGGCGTTATGGGCCGAGAAAGAAGGAGAAGCTTCTTCAACTACCGAACGAATTAAATTCATGCAAGAACAATTACAGAATTATAAGTAAGTGAAATAATCATTTTTGTAATAATTATTAACAAAATAATGATAGGGCCCAAACCGAGTCACTTAAGCAAGAAATAATGTCCCAAGAAATCGAATTAAAGAGTCAAATTTCTGTTTTGGAGAAAAAAGCGCATGAAAATTGGGTAAGCGCCCGACAGGCCGAAAGGAAATTAGAAGAAGCAAAACAAGAAGCGGCACAACTGAGACATAGACTAACATTACGGGAACGAGCTCTTCAAGAAGACAAGAGTGAGTTTTTCTCAAAAACAAAATGTATTTTTAATATTTTTCTAAATAGGGTTGCAATCACCAATTGAGCAAAACGGGGATATTCCCGAATCCCCCGCTTCCCCTCCCCTCTTATACGGCACTCGTGACCACATTACCAAATCTCCTCCTCTTCCGGGTCTTCCTCCCTTCTTGCCACCTCCTCATGGAGTTCCCTTCATGCCTCCCCCACTTCCGGGTGTTCCTCCTTTCATCCCGCCCCCGCCGCCTAATATGTTTCCGGGCGATCATCGTCCCCCTCCACTAGGAAGGATGTCATCCCCTCCATTAAATTCCCGCTATTCGCCCAGTAGTCGGGGCTATTCGCCTTACGATCGGAATAGTTCGTCGCCTTCCGATTCCGAATACGGTACTTCCCCTCCGCATCGCAGGGGGTACAGTCCGTTCAGAGGGGAGGATAGGAGAGATTACAAAAGGGCTCCACCTGGAAGGACTAACGGGAGGAGTATGATGAAAGGTGAGGAGTAGTGTTGGAAGGGGTTTCTTTTAAATGCGTTTTTTAGGTGGTAGTTCAGGGTCGGGACATTCAAATGAATCGTTAGAGAAGACAAATAGACAGCAGTCGAAAGTCTAGCGGTTTACCTGTTGTTTTTATTACTAGTTTTGTGTATAAATTTTTCAGTGGTCCAAATTTTTTGTCGCGTAGGTAAACTGAAAGTGAATAGAATCGGCTCCATGCTTTGTAATAATCTCTGGTATTACGTGACAAGATTCTTGCTGCTCTGAACATTTTTAATTTGTTTTTAATATAAAAAATATGTATAAACTTGTATAAAAAAATACTGTTGTATAATAAAATGTTTATGGAAAAGTTTCTATATTTTATTTCTGTCTCGTTTGTAATCAACTGGACCACGTGATTGCTGCAAGTAATGAGATGACGTTTTTTTGTTTCGCAAATTTACGCATTTCTTTATCCTGAAAATAAATTGGTCTCGTTATCACCAAGTCACGTGATTGTTTCTTGATTTCTGCATTTAAAAATAAAGTGGTTATCAATGAGAGTATTAGTTGAAAAAACAGTGTCTGCTTGCTATGAACCAGAGACGATGTCGCAAGAGAGCAGTGTCAACGTTTTGGTGTTTTTCGTCAACGGAAAAAAGGTAAGTTTTTCAGCACGCCTGCAGCAATGAAAGGCCAAAAACTTAATTAATTAATTTTGTATAATTATATAATGATCCAGGATATCAACAATGACTTCCTAATTTTTTCACAGATTTGATTGAACCCACTTTATAAATAATCAATTGACAATGGAGATAATGCGTATTAGAATAAATCAATATCATGATGAGATAAATATAAATTTAGATGGGTGACCATAAATGCATATGACAGTGGCGTCTGCAGATTTGCGGTCAGGTCAGGTCAATAGCAATTTTTGACTCCAAAAATCAAGTATTAAATATGTTTTCGCAAATAATTTTATTAATTTGAATTTGAATTTTTATTAATTTGATAAGTCAGCGAAAAAAGAATTTTCAAGGGTAGTTAAAAATTTTCATCTGCATAATTTTTTTTCAAATTTGTTATCTTTGTGGGTTTACAAATGCCTAAGATTACATTTTGATTAACTGTGGGGGTGGGGGGTAAGTGTCCCCAATTCCCCCGCTACCATGCGCCTATGAAATGTGGCAAAACATGTAAATGTTTTCATGGAATTTTACGAGATTGCCTCATTTAGGTGTACTTTGACCTTTCCGGTTGTCAGATCTGGTTTTAACAATATTGTTCTGACTTTATCATTACATTATCTTTTATTTAGAAAAGTTTGTGTTTTTTTAGATAATCGACAACCAGGTCGACCCTGAGTGGACGCTTCTTTATTATCTGCGAAATAAGCGTATCCTTTGATGATAAATGGGGCGGTACCTTACACAAAAATAATTTCCATATCTTACATGTTTTATTTCAAAATATCCTAATCAGCTGAGTTACAAAAATTCCTATCAACCACTATAAATAGTACGTAATAAACACATCTTTGATTATTACGCAGTATATTAATAATTATTTATATAGGCTGGTCGGGATATCCATGTGTATAATTTAATCATTAATAAAGCTTGCTTTTAAACTTTTAAAAGGTTAAGGTAAGTAGATGTAGCTATAATTTATGACCTTAATCTTTAAAACAAATTATTTGTGATAATATAACTGATAAAAAGACAATGCTAACGTTTCTTTTTGTTACATAATTAAAATATTAGATAATACGAGTATTTACCTACATTTCCGAAGTAGGTCTAGGTACCTACATATTATATAATAGGTGTTTTTAAGAAGCATCTCGCGCATTTGAAATCCCACTTGATCACGTGATTATAGAACAACAAATCGCTACTCTTTAAAATCCAGATTAGGAATCACGTGATTTGTTCATTACCCGACATTAATTTTATGAAAACTGACTTCTTGAAAAATAAGTATCAAAATATTTAAAATCATTTAAAAAAAAGCAAAAACAAAAGTGGAATAAGTAGATAATAATAGTTGCGTAATTTTATCTCTTTGGTGAACAGGATACATCAGGATTTTTAGTACAACACTAAGGTCATTAGATTTCATCATAAACACAAACAAAAATATACACAAAAATACTAATTTTTTTTGTTATTAATCCTTAACAAAGACTTAGTCAGACTATGTGGTACCAAGCTCGGCTGTGGCGAAGGAGGATGCGGTGCTTGCACCGTAATGGTCTCAAAATACGACAGAATCAACAAAAAAGTGATGTATCCTTTTTCATTTTATATTCTATACCCGGAATAAAATCCTTTGAAGCAAAAATCCTTACATAAATTAGTCATCTACCGGTCAATGCTTGTCTGGCACCTGTATGTTCAATACACGGTCAAGCCGTCACAACTGTTGAAGGAATTGGTTCAACCAGAACTAGACTCCATCCAGTCCAGGAACGTATAGCCAAAGCTCATGGTTCACAATGCGGATTTTGCACCCCTGGAATCGTCATGTCAATGTATACACTCTTAAGAAACTCACCAAAACCTACAATGAACGATATGGAAATTGCTTTTCAAGGAAACCTTTGTCGTTGTACCGGCTATAGACCCATCATAGAAGGGTACAAAACCTTTACCGAAGAATGGGAACTGATGCAAGCAAACAGCAAACTCAATGAACGCAATGGTTGTGGCAGAAAGAACGGTTGTTGCAAAGAAAACGGTTCGGGGAGGGAAAATGGCTGCTGCAAGAAAAATGATAATGGGAATCAAAATGATTATGAAAATGAAAATGATTATGATAATGAAAACGATTCTGGCAACGAAAATGATTCTGACAAGGAAAATGGTTGTGGTAAAGAAAATGGTCGTGGTAATAAAAATGGGGGCAAGGAAAATGGATCAGGAGAAATAAATGGAGGCGAAACAAATGGGGGCGGTACAATAAACGGTTTCGGCAAGAAATCTGGCCAAACAAATGGTTGTGCCATGGGTTCTAAGTGTTGCAAATTTCAAAATGGTACTGAAAAACAACCTGAAGAAGTCCTGTTCAAAACGAGTGAATTCACACCTTATGATTCGACTCAAGAACCGATTTTTCCCCCAGAATTGAAAATTTCAGACGAATACGACAAGCAATATCTTATCATTAAAGGCAAATCCGTGACTTGGTACCGTCCAACAAAATTAACCGAACTTCTAGAGCTGCGAAAACAATTTCCAAATGCCAAAATTGTTGTCGGAAATACCGAAGTCGGAGTTGAAGTCAAGTTCAAACATATGGTTTACCCTGTGATTGTCCAACCAGTCGTAATACCCGAATTGTCAAAAATTGAAAATACAAGTGACGGAGTGCGAGTTGGTGCTTCTGTCACACTTATGGATGTCCAAAGTTATCTTCTGAATGAAATGAAACGACTTCCGGAGGAGAAGACTAGAATTTTTAAAACAATAACAAAGATGTTGAACTGGTTTGCTGGTAAACAAATCCGAAGCGTGGGTGCTCTTGGTAGCAACATAATGACTGGAAGTCCAATTTCCGACATGCTTCCTATTCTTATGGCCAACGAAGTTGTTTTGGAGTTACAAAGTGCGGATGAAGGCATTCGCAAAGTCCGTCTCGATTCAAACTTCTTCACCGGTTATAGAAAAACGATTGTGAAACCTGAAGAAATCCTTCTAGCGATTCACATCCCTTACACTCATCGAGACCGTTATTGTTACGCTTACAAACAAGCAAGACGTCGTGAAGATGATATCGCTATAGTAAATGCGGCGGTGAATGTAACCTTTGAACCACAAACCGATATAATTTCTGATATCAATATTGCCTTTGGCGGAGTGTCTTTCAAGACGGTTACAGCTTTGAAAACTCGAACAAATCTAAAAGGACTTCCATGGAATCGGCAAACTCTAGAACTAGCTTTTGATTATCTCCAAGAAGACTTGCCTTTAGATCCTGGAGCTCCAGGTGGAATGATCCAATACAGGAGATCCTTGACTCTGAGCCTCTTCTTCAAAGCCTTTTTGGCCATTTCCCTCGAGTTGCAAGAGTATGTCCCTCATATCAAAATTGATAAACGGGAATTTAGCGGAATTGAAGGGTTCCATGAGAAGGAGTACAAAAGTTCGCAGTATTTCACTGTTGTGCCCAACACACAGCTAAAAACCGACGCTCTTCAACGACCAATCGTCCACATGTCTGCTTACAAACAAGCGACAGGTGAAGCAGTCTATCTTGATGACATTCCCTATTTTGAAAACGAACTTTATTTGGCTTTCGTGACCAGTACTAAAGCCCACGCCAAAATCCTCTCGATTGACCCTTCGGAAGCTCTAGCAATGGAAGGGGTCCACTATTTCGTTTCCGCTAAAGACATTGATAAAAAACACAATACTATGGGTTCTATAGTCCACGATGAGAGAGTTTTCTTTAACGAAAAAGTTACAAGTCAAGGCCAAATCATTGGAGGTATCGTCGCTATTGATCAAAATACAGCTCAAAAAGCTGCGAGAAGAGTTAAAATACAGTATGAGGAAATTGAACCGGTTATAGTCACAATTCCAGATGCTATTAAATACAATTCGTTCCATGGAAATGGCCGACATAAACTTATAGTTAAGGGCGATATCGATAAGGTTTTGAGGGAAGCTCCTCACGTTCTGGAGAGTGAATGTCAGATGGGAGGACAGGAACATTTTTATCTTGAGACTCAGTGTGTGCTTGCTGTGCCGAAAAAAGAAGACTGTGAAATGGAGATTTATTCTTCGACGCAAAATCCGACTGAAGTTGCAGTAAGTATCTAAAAATTTAAAACAAAAATGTTATCGACAAAAAAATATCTTGTAAGCCTCAAAAGTCATATTTTGAAAACGTTTCAGCTGTGCCACGTAAACTAACTTTTTCTCCAAATAACATATACTATTTTATCTGCAAACGCATTCAGATTGAAAGTAAAGAGCAACTATAATTAGCAAATAAATGAACAAAATAATCAGGACGCTTTGCAATTAAATTAACAATAAACAAACGTCCCGCATCAGTTTCCGAATTTGTGTTGAGATTTTCGAAAGTGTTTATTAATTTAACTAGTGCAGTTAGTAGTGCAAAATATCAATGCTGATGATCTACAATGTACTTCTCCAGAAATTGTTAAAGCAGCGAAAGAGACAACAAATAGGCAACATTGGTAAATGTCATGGTAAAAGTAAAAACACTTAAGCCCAAAAACAGAATTTTACTCCATGCCTGAAAGGCAAAACTTTTATACATTTAGTCATAAAAGTGGTCACTTTTTTGACGTTTGCGGATAAAAGATATTATTCAACAATTATTCGTATTAGTGCTAGTACAAAAAATTCATTGTTTTAAATTGAATATCTCGATATTCATTCTAGTTGAGAAATAAGAGCTTTAGCAGTTTGTTGTGGACAATTAACGAACTACGAGTATGATTTATTTTATATACATTTATACTCGAAGGACCAATAATTTTGATTATTTTTAGCATTGAACAGCAGCTTTATCGTATTTTTAAAAAAATAATTATTATAATTGATGACAATTTGTTTTTTTCATTCATCAGTCATCACCATTCTAGCTTTAAAGATATCTGAAAATAAAAAATCTCAAAATGTTGACTTAGACAAAAGAAAGTTTTTTAAAACTCAGTTTAACAATTCGTTTTTTAGGCCATGCTGGCTGAAGTTTTGGGTATTCAACAAAACAAAATCGCCGCCAAAGTAAAGCGACTTGGAGGCGGTTTCGGAGGCAAAGAATCCAAAGCCATGATGGTGGCGATCCCCGTCGCTGTAGCTGCTGTTAAATTAAACCGACCAATTAGGTGTATGCTAGACCGTGACGAGGATATCGTCATGACAGGGGGTCGACACCCCTTCTTAATAAAGTACAAAGTAGCGTTTGATGATAACGGCAAAATTCTAGGGGCCGATATCAAACTCTACAACAATTGTGGCTACTCAACCGACTTATCACCTTCAGTAAGTTTTTTTTTTTTAATTTGGAGCGAGCTTCTTGAACCTCAATTTTAGGTATTAGAACGTGCAATGACACACTTTGAAAACTCGTACCAAATCCCGGTAGTCCGGGTTGAGGGTTTCATGTGCAAGACTAACCTACCTTCAAACACAGCGTTTCGGGGCTTTGGAGGCCCTCAAGGCATGTATGCTGCTGAGTGTATCCTCCAAGACGTCGCCGACTACCTCAAAAAAGACCCTGTGACACTTAGTGAACTCAATTTGTACAAAGAAGGTGATCTTACACACTATAATCAAAAACTGGTCAACTGCACTCTTGACAAATGTTGGCAAGAGTGCATCCAATCGTCAAACTACTACGAAAAACGTAAGGAAGTCGAGCGGTTCAATCGAGAAAATCGGTACAAAAAGCGAGGATTGAGTGTCATACCTACCAAGTATGGAATAGCCTTCACAGCACCACATCTCAACCAAGCGGGTGCTTTACTCATAGTATACGCCGACGGGTCGGTCCTGCTCTCCCATGGAGGTATCGAAATGGGCCAAGGCTTGTACACAAAAATGATCCAAGTTGCGAGTCGATGTCTGGAAATCCCCGTCGAAAAAATCCACACTGTTGAGACTTCCACTGACAAAGTCCCAAATACCTCACCCACAGCTGCCAGTTCCGGTTCAGACTTGAACGGAATGGCAGTCATGGAAGCTTGTAAAGTGATCAAGGAGAGATTAAGACCGTTCAAAGAAGCTAATCCTAAGGGAACATGGGAGCAGTGGGTCCGGAAGGCTTACTTCTCCCGAGTTAGTTTAAGTGCAACCGGATTTTACAAAACTCCGGATATTGGGTATAACTGGGAAACGGGGAAAGGCAACATGTTTAATTATTACACATATGGGGTTGCGTGTTGCGAAGTCGAAATTGATACTTTGACCGGAGATCATGAAGTGCGGAGAATTGATATTGTCATGGATTTGGGTAAGTAACCATTCGAAAATTGGAACCAAATTAAAAAATTAAAAATCAGGTGAGAGTCTCAACCCTGCCATTGATATCGGCCAAATTGAGGGTGCGTTCATGCAAGGCTATGGCCTTTTTGTCCTTGAAGAACTAGTCTATTCGCCCACCGGAACTAACTTCACCCGTGGGCCTGGTACTTACAAACTGCCCGGATTTGGGGACATTCCGGGTGAATTTAACGTTTCTTTATTGAAAGGAGTTTCAAACCCCAGAGCTGTGTACTCATCAAAGGTTGTATGGAAAAAATAAATGTGAAATTGAGCTAATTTTGGGTTTTAGGCCGTTGGTGAACCTCCTCTGTTTTTGGGGAGTTCAGTTTTATATGCTATTAAAGATGCCATAAAGGCCGCAAGAAGAGAAAATGGTTATGAACCAACCAAATTCAGATTAGATTCTCCTGCGACTGCTGCAAGAATACGTATGGCATGCCAGGATAACATTACTTCGAAGGTAACAATTTTGTTTTGACTTATCAAAAAATTATCAATTGTCTTACAGTTTAAGGATCCCGAACCCGGAAGTTTTAAACCGTGGAATGTCTACGTTTAAGTGATATTTATCTAGAGTTAATCTTCTTATTTTTATGGTTTTTACTGTGAATAAAAAGTTTTGTACGTATGACAGAAATTTATTTATTGGAAGACACGCATTTAAGGCAAAACAAGAAAGACAATTTCTTGAGACAGAATTTTGTCTTCTTTTTTCGTGTTTTATTTCGAGACGCATCTATTATCTTAGGAGCATCATTACGATCATTTTCCTCAATATTTTCCACTTTTGCGATTGAATAATCTGAGTCAATATTGACACAGCTGAGTCTTTGAAACACTAGTGTCAATTTTTTCTCTTCATCTTTTATATTATCTCGGCTGATTGTTTCTTTTTCTTCTTCCGTCTCATCTTCTTCTTCTTCCTGATCGAAAGTCTTGACGAAACCGTCCGATTCAACTTTTTCTTCCTTCTCATCTCTAAAATTGAGCTTTGCAAGTAACTCTTCTTCGGACAATTTAATCTGAACCGACTTTTGGCAACATTCAAACGATGTTTGTAACGACTTACTTTCGATGGAACGGATATCAAGACCACCACTAGAACTTTTTGTCTCAATTTGTACTTCAACACAAAATGTTGTTTCAAGAGGTGGCTCAAATAGAGCTTTTATTTCGGGCCTTTGGAAAAATGTTCGCGAAAGTTGTCTCGATTTAAGCGTGGCGTAGCCACTTTCTTCAGACCCTGGAGCGCTAAGAGAATCTAAATAGTGTTCTATTAACTCGGAAAATTACCCACGTGGAAGCACTTACCCATAATGTGGTCCTGACTACCTAAATCGCCATCGCAGTGGTTATTTATCGGATTGGAACATGAAATTTCACTTAAGCTTCCAGTTTCCCTCTTTGGAAACTCACTATACCAATCGGTAATTTTCTTCTCAGGTAGAGATAAATCGTCAGAACTTATATCCTCAGAAGTGGATTTATCAAGTTCGATATTCACATCCAACGTAAAATCTTTTTTTAAAAAGTTATCATTTTCGTTCAAAATCTCGTCAAAAGCTTCATCCGTTGGCAACTCAAACAACTCTTTAAATTTGTCATCGAAGCAAGGACGGGGAAGGTCGTCATAAAAGTTCTTATTCATGTCTGGAACATCTTCAATATTTATTGCATCAGTTTTCAGTTCGGGTTTTGGAACATCCTGAATTGACACCTCTGAATGATTTTCGTTACTCACTGTCAAATATCTAACTTCCATGACTTGAGGTGGAATACACGGTGACTTTTTCTTGTTGATAACACTCTTCCTGAGAGAATCCGAGTAAAGCTTGCTTCTTTGCCACCGACTTAGTTTATCATCGTCTTTAAAATTTTTGGTTGTCAAAAAACTTGCTCCAGTTTTTGCAGACTCGATTGATTTGTCGCCACAAGTGCTGTTGCTGACAGAAGTCCGAGCCAAAGTGTTGTATTTCTTTTTTTGTGAATTTATTTTACTTCTTCTTCGGATCTTAGTGTCGGATCTGGAACTAAATGAGCCTTTGCAGGAGTGTTTACTACTACGACTCCAAATACTCGAAGCATTGGATTTTGGAAGATTGGTACTTGACGATTTTCGGTGAGTACGGAGAGGAGTCTTACTGTGAGTTCGGCTAGATTTCAAGCCCAGTTTTTTTGAGTCTTGTTTGTGTTTGTTTATGAAAGAATCATCATTATCATTATTGATTTCACTTTCTTTTGTCCCACTTGACTTTTTTTCTTTGTTTTTCTTCGTTTTCACAACGTCAATACTCTCCGTTTTGGGCTCACGCGATGGTGATCTTGAAAGTCTCGTATTAATGGATTTTTCAACAAATTCCAAATCTTCAGTTTTGGTACTTTTAACATCAAGACTTTTACTATACGATTTTTCTTTTGCCATTTCGGCCATCTTACAAATATTGCTCAAAACTGGTATTTTCGACTTTCTTGATTTTCTAATCCTCCTATCAACCTCTTTGTGATTTTTTTGTGGTTCAGGGTCAATAACAATAGCAGAAATGTGGGTTTCAACCTTGAATTTTGATCGTTTATTGCGACGACTCTTTGATGATTCCTCAATTGACTGTTCGGACGTTCCTTGATACATTTTGTGACTATCACTAAAAGCCTGATAAGTACTGCTCGATGTTAAATCATCATCTCGGTCAAGATTTTTATGATACTTGTAATATTTCTTAAAAGCTTTGTGTTTTTTCTTTTTTTCAAGATAAGTATTTTCACGAACAACCCATGGCGATATGTCTACAACCGGAAAAGTTCTTCCTACTAAACAAGACAGGTGACGAACAGGATTGGCTCGGGAAATATTTTCTTTCTTGTTTTCTATGATTTTCTTCTTGGTTTCTGAAGACTCTCCACGATCGGTGCTTTGGCCACGACTTTGGCTTTGTTCCCTTGGCTTAGGTCTCGAATTCAGACTATTTTCCCGACTCCGAATTTTACTCTTTTGTTGTTCTAGTTTAGTGTTTTTCACACTTACGTTAGTGATGTTACTACTTGCCTGACTTTCAGTTATTTTCTTTCTTACCTTCATATTTTCATGATCTTCATGATGGCTTTTATGTATTTTTTCTCTTTTCGAACTTACAACACTACTTACTTGACTTTCTGTGAAATTGCTTGGTGCAATTGAATCTTGAACGTTTTTTCTTGATTTTCGTTTCGTTTTGCCACTCTCCTGACTCCCACTTTCGTTATTTTGTGTTTTGAGTTCATCGAAAATTATATCGCATTCTTTGGACGTGCATTTTCGTTTTGGTTTTGAGCTTATTGTACTACTCTCAAAACTACCAGTTGTGTGGAATTTTTCTTTAGCTTTATTTTGGAGAATTTTAAGTTCATCAAATACCAAACTCCCATTATCTTTCATTTTTGATTTTCTGACGTCTTCTGTTTTATTTTTATCCCGGTATTTCTTAGCTTCATGCGTGTACACGATATCAACCGGGTCATCCTTGTGTTTTTTATCATGTAGTTTACTAATTTTTTCTATTTTTCTTGTGGTACTATCAACTGAAGTTTTGTGAGGCATAAAAAGCATATTTGTATTGTCTTCAGCGTAACGATTTATTTTCCGTGGATGCTTCTCTTTAGAAAACTCGGACGTATCATGAACCGAATCATGTTTGTCGAAAAGAAAAAATTTCTTTAAAAAATTTGAAGTAGTGGATGACTTCTTCGGCAATTCCTTTGCATTGTTGTTAGCAATCAATTTAACAATTTCTTTCTTTGTTAACCACTGGTAATCGTTGTTATCCTTATTGTTGTGTTTCTGAGTTGAGAGTAGTTTTGCAATGTCGATATCTCGTTTCAGACTTTTCCTTTTTTCAGCATCAGTGTCATAATCATAATTTTTGTGATGTCTTTTACCCTCCGTAAAAATTTCAGGGGACTTATCCCGATGGTTCGTCGCTTTTTTACGATGTCTTTTAATTTCCTCCGGTGATATGAAATAAATTTCAGTTTCACTAGCAAAAGTGTTCACTGGTAAGTTCTTTCCGTGTCTTTTTATAGATTCGGGAGACTTTTTTCTACGGTGTTTGTTCTCATCCGCTGGATGTCTCCTAAGTGTGTGTTTTGGGTTGGTATCAGCATCGTTAGCACTTTTAATTTTTCTCTTATACGAAGCTCCAGTTTCTTTTTTGTATAAATATTTAACTAATTTATCACTAGCTTTATTAGCTTCTTCATCTAAAGTTTTTGAAGCGAAAAATCCAAACTTTTGAAGTTGTTTATGCATAATAACGCTTCATAATCTGAAGCCTCACTTTACCTCAATGGACTTCAAAAACACTTTTATGATGATATTTTACGATGAATTAGGTGATGTAAAAAGTTCCAACTTCCATTACATAATTTCAAGTGTTCTCCAAAGTTCATTCACGACAAGAATTTTAAAATTCATTACTGTCAGTCAAAAATTTAATATTTTTTATAGTAACAACTGAAATGAGACTACTTTGAAATTTTTAATAATAAAACATAAGAGTGTATAAAACATGTAATTTATTGAAGCTAAGTTTAGTACACTAATTCTATCCTAAATTTATATCTTAAGTAACCTTCGGTTTTTCACTTTCTTCTAGTTCTTTTTCGACTCCAGTACCCTCATAAATAGCCTGCCTCCTCAACAATTCTTGCATTTGAAGCATTTGAAACTTCATTTGAGAATATTTGTAACGACATTGAATCCAGTATATTAAGGTAACACCGGAAAAACTGTACACCGCAAAATTACAAGCAGCCAAAGGATGACTTTTAAACATAAAATGAGCTAAACCCAGCCCAAGTCCACTATAAATCCCATACAAAATGCTGTTACGAAAACATGGAATTTTTGAAACATCCCGCCCAAAAATCATCAAGCTCTAAAACGACAAGAGAGAGCGCTGTATGAGAAATGTCATATCGATTGCATTGAAAGTTGGTTTTACGATTTTTGAAAAGTTACATACCTTATCTACAGGCTTAGGTATTTCTTCCCTGTTTTCTGCACTTTCGTTCGACATTATGCTTTTCTAGAACCTTAATTAGTTGTTTAAAATTGTTACAATAAATCACGTTACTGACGACGTTTTTAGGTTAAGGTCCTTCATTACTTAGTTTTACTGTGTGCGAATAGAGGCCGCTCTATATTTAAGAATAAAATATAATTTTTCTGCCAGAAATGTGTTGCCGTGCTTAATTTTGTGAAAAATTTTGAAAGTTTATCGAATTTGAGTCTTCAGGATTTGAAAAATTGATTAGTTTTTTGTGTAATATTTGATTTTGTTTATAGATTTCTGTAATTTGGGGTGTCATCTTTCGGTGAGTAGAGATAATTTTTCGTCACGTGACGACACGTGAATCCAATACTTGTGCAGTTGCTGATTTTGGTTGGGCTGTGGAAGACGTGTTGTGAAAGATGTCGTATCAAAATACTATATCGTCCAAACAAGCCACAAGAGAGCATGTTTTGGCAGTTTCCCGTGATTTCGTGTCTCAACCAAGACTCAGTAAGTAGTTTTTCTCAATTAATTTGCGAGAAATCGGCCTAAAAACCGTGAAAATTGGGTGGGTTCGAGATGTAATGGACGACACAATACAGGTCATATGACCAAAAATTTTCGCAATCTTTACTTGATTTTGCTTAAAATATTATTACAACAAACACACAGGGTCTAAATTTAATAATAAGTAAACTTCCGAATCTATTTTAGGCCGATTTTGGGAGAAATCAGCTGTTGGGATTGTCATGTGACTGAATCTTATGACAGCCACTCCTCTCAAACCTAAATTTTGCTAATTTTATTATAGCTTATAAAACTGTGACCGGTGTAAATGGACCGTTGGTTATTTTGGACGATGTCAAGTTTCCCAAATTCAACGAGATCGTCCAACTTAAGCTGGCAGATGGGAGCATACGTTCGGGGCAAGTTCTGGAAGTCAGCGGCTCCAAAGCCGTCGTCCAGGTGTTCGAAGGCACCTCAGGAATCGACGCCAAACACACTGTTTGTGAATTCACCGGTGACATCTTGAGAACTCCTGTCTCTGAGGATATGTTAGGGCGAGTCTTCAACGGCTCAGGAAAACCCATAGATAAAGGTAATATAACGGTCACAAAACGCCCCATAATCACACAATTTTTCCTCGTCAAGGCCCTCCAATTCTCGCCGAGGACTTTCTGGATATCCAAGGTCAACCCATCAACCCTTGGTCGCGTATCTACCCCGAAGAAATGATACAAACAGGTATTTCTGCTATTGATGTTATGAATTCTATTGCCAGAGGACAGAAAATCCCCATTTTCTCTGCCGCCGGTCTGCCTCACAACGAAATCGCCGCTCAGATTTGTAGACAAGCTGGTCTTGTCAGAGTACCCGGAAAGTCCGTACTCGACGATCATGAAGATAATTTTGCTATCGTTTTCGCGGCTATGGGTGTTAATATGGAAACTGCTCGATATTTCAAACAAGATTTTGAAGAAAATGGTTCTATGGAAAATGTGTGTTTGTTCTTGAATTTGGCCAACGATCCGACCATTGAGAGAATTATTACGCCACGTTTGGCGCTCACAGCTGCCGAATTTTTGGCCTACCAATGTGAGAAACACGTACTCGTCATCTTGACCGACATGTCTTCTTACGCCGAGGCGTTGCGTGAGGTAATTGTTACTTTTAATTGAAAAAACTAATTGTTTATGGTACTGAAAACTATAGGTATCCGCTGCCCGTGAAGAAGTACCTGGTCGTCGTGGTTTCCCCGGTTACATGTACACCGATTTGGCCACAATTTACGAGCGTGCCGGGCGTGTTGAGGGCAGAAATGGCTCAATTACTCAAATTCCTATTCTTACTATGCCTAACGACGATATCACTCATCCTATTCCTGACTTGACGGGTTATATTACCGAAGGACAAATCTACGTCGATCGTCAGTTACATAACAGACAGATTTATCCACCAATCAACGTGTTGCCTTCCCTGTCCCGTTTGATGAAGTCCGCTATTGGTGAAGGTATGACCAGGAAAGATCACTCTGATGTTTCCAATCAATTGGTAAGTTTAGAACTTGTTGAGTATTTTTTTCTGATTTTCTTGTTTAGTACGCTTGCTACGCTATTGGTAAGGATGTGCAAGCCATGAAAGCTGTCGTCGGTGAAGAGGCTTTAACGCCTGATGATCTCTTGTATTTGGAATTCTTGTCCAAGTTCGAGAAGAACTTTATCACACAAGGAAGTTATGAAAATCGTACTGTATTTGAATCGTTGGACATTGGTTGGCAATTACTCCGTATTTTCCCGAAGGAGATGTTGAAACGTATTCCTGCAGCCACCCTGGCCGAATTTTACCCAAGGGACTCACGCCATTAGTTTTTTGTTATAATCCTACTAGGTTTGTTTTAAAAATCCACTTATTTTTAGCCATTTTTTTGGGCCAATTATGGTGCAATTTTGTAAATACCAAAAAACGTATCGTACTTCATTTCTTTCCTTCATTTGTATATTGTAAATTGAAAATATTACCTCCATTAACAAATAATTTAAAACAAGTAGTACAAGACAATATGTAAAATATCACGATAGGCATTGATATTATTGTTGTTAAATATCAATAGCACATTTTTTTCTCCTTTCTTTGCTAAGAAAACAAAGTGGAAGCTACGACATTCCATTACTATAATTCTTGTTATTAATGTTGTATAAAGCAATACACCAACCAGCTTTCAGTATTTTTATTTTTAGTTGTACATTACGCGGTGAATGGAAATTGCTATGTAGCATTTGACAACTCTTTTCGGTGTTAATATCTATAAGTAAACAACCTTATGTCTAGATTAGTGTAAAAAAAAATGTGAATAAATGTTCATATGATGTTACAGTTTTTAGATTTTGTCATATTCTATGCCTTGTTTTATTAGAGAATGAAGTTACGTGTTTTATGTAAAATATTGTTGAATAAATGCTGTACAAAATTTTTTTTGACTAAATTCAACTCTAATAGTTCAAAACCCTCACCCGAACTAGTAGTTCCAATGCACTAAACAAAGTAGGCGGAGCTAAATTTTAATTTTCGTGTTGGTGTTATTATTTTTAGCTCAGATCTCAGGTATTGTGAATTAAATAGTGGAAAATTTTACACGAAACTTAATTAGCACAAATTACTTGTGGTAAGATAATTATTCATTTAGAGATTTGTGCATAATTTCCAACGAGAACTGCAATGTTTTACATAACCTCAATTTTCCAATTCGGTTGGTTTTACTAAAAGGGGCCGTGTTTTTTCTACTTTTAAATGATGTAAATGAGGAAATTTACATTTTATAATTGCCTCATTGTTTATATTTTTGTATCAGAATCTTCATGTTTATTACATTTTTTTTTCAAAATCAGATTGATGTTTATTTATAAATTGTAAAAACGAATAATGCATTTGAATCGGGCATGCGACTATTGGCAATTAGTGTCGTTTTTATGTAATCTGGTACACCGCCCAATCATTTCGATCGTCACATAACGTGTCCCAACGGTACACCTTTCACAACTTAAGTAGCGAGTTGAACCACTTTTCTCCAAAACTGTCTAGCCAAAGTGAAGTTCGTTGAAACATCATTGCCGGTCCCGCATCTGCTTTGTGTTTGAATTGAGAGTTAATTGAAATTGAGTCCGAGTAATTTACGAATTTAGCCTAACTATTATCTATCTTCTGAAGCGACCTTGTTTCACAATTACGTAGCCGAGCGTAAGTCTTCGTGTTTTTTCTTTTGGATCACGCCACACAAAATGTCACGCAGTTCATTGGACAGGTCCGGAGTAAAAACAATACGAGTAAAAACAGCAACAAACAGAGAAGGGGCAATTGTGAGTGGTACGCCTCTGTTTTAAAAACGGTACATTAAAGCCGCGCTCCCCCATGCATTCAGCGACTACCGGTAAAAGAAAATAGAATTTCATTGTCGAGCAGTACGTTTTCGGGGCGGGTAGTAAGAGAACCTTACCCTCGAGTGAAGAATGGACGATTACATATCTCGATTGTGCTAAATATATTCACTTAAATAACGTCGACTCAGTGCGTGATTGGATTTTTAATTGTTGGATGTATTTTGAGGTGGTGCAATGGAGGGAATTATAGAGTGTGTCATTTTGATGGGGTTCATGTATTGGGCCTTCCCAAGTTTTTTTTCGGAGGGATTTTCCAGGTAAAAAGTTATATGTAACAAGTTGTGAAAGTATGCAAATTTTTATATTGGTAATAACAGTTAAGAATTTAGTCCATTCACCTCTTTACTCTGTTTCGCAACTCTTTCTTCAATGCGCGAAGAAATTATAAATAGTGAGAAGGCGGGTTTATAATTTTAAATTAAGACATGCATTAAACATTGTTTTATCAAAATCGGATTTTTTCCCGTAACGGTTAAAGTTCAACGTGTCTCCCAAGATTTATTATTGTAATTTTATTTTGTAATTGACCTATTTGTTTGTGATTATTAGTGGAACCTTTCTTTGTAAAATACTATGTTGAAATGTACTCAATGTTTACTTTATCTTTGTCATTGATTTACAGCAAGTTGACTTTATTTTTATAACACGATAATAAATTTTAAAAAATTATTTTAGCCTTACCTAAAACTACTTGCGGGTTTAATTACACTCCATGTTTATCGAAGAGAAATTCAAATCTTGAATTATTATAATTTTGTTTATAATGTACACAATGAATCATGTAATTAAATCTCGCAATAAAGTCATTTGTATGCGAAAACACTATTGGCAAATTTTTGGTTCAATGTTTTATTCGAAGGCGAAAACCTTGCTTCATCCGAGGAAAATTGGGAATATTTAGATGTTCAAGAGTTTTCCTTGAATTCAAGTGGAAAGTAATAAATTTTGAGGTTTAACAAATATGTAAATCATTTGATTTTTTTTATCAAATTGACAAACTCTCGTCCATGCTACTGGAAGAGTAAATAAGTCGAGTATCATTGTGAAAACACACAAAAATAAACAATCTTTCATTACTCAAACAAAGAAAAAGCTTAATAAGTAGTAGGTTATTGACTGTTTTGTAGTGTTTATCAACATTGATTTTGTTTGATTTTTCTTTATTAGTAACCCTGAACTTATTTCAATTCTGTATTGGAAGTATAGCGTTTATTAATAAAATCCATTATTTTCTTTCGTAATGTAACAGTTTATTATTACAGATCTCTACAGTCATGTAGTGGAAAGAGAAGATGTAGTTACAAAAAATCTGTTAAATATTTCCACAATGGAATAATAATTATTATATCAAAAAATATATTATTAAGAGTTATCGAACATTGTAACTATTAATAACTATTAAAATTATTTAGATTTAAGCATCAAGAAGACTAAACTAACATAAATACCCACTCAATTAATTTCTGTACTTTAATACATTTGATAAAAATTAATCTTACGGAAGTTAAACTTTGATGCTAGTCATTTGTATGTCATCTTTTAGTATTTCTCCATGGATTTCCTGCGTCTTGCGTGTTCGAAATAATTTATTTTTGATTTGAACTCTTCAAAGAAAGGTTGTCTTGATTTCTTTAATTGTTGTAATCACTCTCATGTAACGTGCTTATTAGATACTTTTGTAGTTGTATTATTAGTTTATTTATTCATGATATACAGGGTGATTCACGAGGAATAATGAGCCTGACTAAATTCTCGATGCAACCAACATTACAGTTGTCGCAAAATAACTTGCGAAAAGTAATGGTGGTTGTATCGAGAATTTGGTCATTATTCCTCGTGAATCACCTTGTATAGTAGCAGATATAATAACTAAATAAAAATGGATGAGGATGCGTAGCCGACTTTATTTGCATGTGGCATTTCTGTGTGCCTTTAAGTGATCACTAGGTATGAAATACTTACACTGTAAATTAATTATTTAATAGACGAACTGGAAAAACAAGAAGTCTTCTGAATCATAGTTACGAGTATATTTTTTGTTTTGTTGTTAAAAATGTAATTAAATAAGTCGGAAACATCTTTTTACTTACGAGTATATGTTGCTTTTTTCACAATACATTTTATAAAAAATACAAATTTCAACTGGTTGGTATAAGTATCAAAGGATGAGGTTAAAGTGTAAATTCGATGGTGGGGACTATAAAATAATTAACGAAGAATTAACGACAAAGGAACACGTCTCATTCTTGTTTTTAATAATTAAAGGCAATTTTTAAATATTCAAAATGTATTGTTTATACTGATTAAGCATAACACTTAAAAAAAATAGTAGGAAATTTTTAATATCGTAGATAATCTATATTTATATTCTACAGTATGTCCCCGGATTGAGTTTACAAGGGGAAAAAAATTATCTTCGATTTTACGCCAAAACTGCAAAGGAAAAACATTTTTTGCTTTATCTGAAACGAGCAAATCTGTAATTAAAACTTCATTATTCTAACTCTGTAGAAAGAAAAGTTTATTTTTCTCTTTTCTATTTTGGACTTAGAATAATTTGTTTCGGCTTTTTAAGTCCTATCACATTAATTTTTTAATTAAATAATGCTAGTTATTGTTAGAAATGACTTTGGTTTTTATCTTAAAGCTGTTTCTTTGGGTTGCTATTTATTAAAACTATGTTTTTCACAAACATTTTTGTTATTTAAATTGCGTAAACTCATTTGTCAAAGTGACATCATTGTCATAATAATGAAACCGCCAATGTGAGAGGACTTAAAAATGTAATAAAAAATGTAACCAACGAATATAGGTACTCTGTGTCAATTTTAAAACTTGCAATCGGCAATATCTCTCAACTGAAAAAGTTATTGAGAATCACTCAAAATCGTTTTGGTGGTTTCTAGGGAAATCAAAATGACATGGTAAGTGACGCACCTTCACCCACCCTTGAGTATGATAAAAAAAATGAGAATTTAAAATCTTCGTTTTTGAATAATTGGAAAAACGACTTTAATAGGCTGTTGTATGACATTTTTGAAAAGCGCTTGTTATGAGCTTTCCAACGATGTATCATAAGTAGGGTCGTGCCATTTAAAATTTTCAACTTGGGTTGGCTTCAAGGGTGGGTGGAGGTGCGTCACTACCACGCCCTAGAAACCACCGAAACGGTTTTGAGTGATTCTCAAAATCTTTTTCAGTTCAAGAAATATTGCCGATTGCAAGTTTTAAAATTGAGAAATTGACACTCTGTATGTAAATAAATATAAATAAAGTGGTAATTCGTTGGTTACATTTTTTATTAATTTCCAAGCTCCACGACAACATTGACAGAGAAAATTTCTACTATTATTATTCTTGATATTTTTTTGCCTCGTCGTTGCTAAATACAGTCCTGATTATTGTATTTAAATAAATCATTCATTCATGATAAGTGTGGCAAGGTTAGTCAAGTTCAATCAGTTTTACTTTTATTTCTTTAAACGCGAAGAGTCATTCTTAATAATTTAATTACGAGTTTGCTATTACTTTATTGTCTAATATAAAATAAAAAAAAATTCTTAAAAAAATTGAAATATGTGTTAAAATTTTGCGATTTCTTCTTTGATAGACATATCAAAATTTTAGCAGGCATTAATAAGTGGTATCATGTTGTGCCGATAGCGATAACGACACCAACTGTTGTAAAATTTACCTTGAAGACACATTTACGTCATTTAATGCACACTTTAATATAAAAAATAGATAATTTTACATGCATATCGTTAGAAATGCTATATATTAAAAAAATGTTATACCTTTAAAATTTGTTCTTTCTTCAGTGGTAATTTTTTTCTAGCTGTCTTACTTTTTGTGTAATGCATTTTTAAAAAGAGTATGTTTTTGTCAAGAAAACCAATTTATTTCAAAAAATAACTCAACCAATAGAAGTTTATCATTGAAATTAAAAGCTACTTCCAAAAATGCCGAGAAACATTATTATGGTAGAGCTTGTTCCGAATCTGGTGGCGAACTGACGTTGTCAAAAATGACTGAATTTTGACATTAAACATATGTTTACCATTAAAAAAAATACTGTTCATAGGCGTCGTATGAAATAAAATTTCAAAACCAGTGTTATTCTTTAAAAAATTATAAGATGAAGAATGATGAACAAATTATTAAATTGTTAACGCATGAAAAGAATTTTCAAAAATGATATTCCTAACAATCCTTGTCTTCAAAATTTTTAGAGAAAAAAAGTACGCCCATGTATTTTTTTATCTTAACCACGTGGGCGCACTCCAAGTGTCTTTTCTGTCACTGTCAGTTCGCCACCAGATATAGAATAAGCTCTACATACAAATTTCATTTAAAAAACACAAGTTTGTATTGTACGTTATTTTTGGGACACGTTGTATAGTTGAAAATAATTTCAGGCGATGCACTTGGTTAGTATATTTTTTCTTTAATTTTAACATTTAAATGTGTAATAGACTTTACTTACTGAAACACCTGTACAACAAATTTTGTAAACACGTTTCCCTTGTTTACCAGTGCATGTATTCTTCGAAAAATTAAATAAGAATATATTTTTCAAATTTTCTCACGAATACCGAGTGCGTCAAAATAAAATTAAGTAGCCATTTTAAATGTATTGTTAGTTACAATACTTTTAAATTTGGATAGTAATTTGTGATACTAATGGTTTGTTTAATGGTGTGTTTTTTTAATTTATTAAAACAATAGAAATTTATATGAGACGCAAGAAAAAGTTATCACATACATATTTATCCAGATTTAATTTATTAATTTCCGCATTTATTAATTCTTAAACTTTCCCTACTTACATCCAGGGTATCAAATTCACTCTGCAAGTGTTACATTGTTTATTTTTTCCCTTCCTTGATGTATTACTGTTACACATGACTGGCAAAAGTTTATCGCAATGTTTTACTATTATGTTACCGTTTATTGTAACGAAAAAATGCACTAAGTAATTACATAAAGTAACATTTCTAATAACTGGTTTATTGTTCAATAAATAAATCTAATTAACTCAATAAAAACCCCTAGACACAAGCAATTATTTGTTTGTTTATTTTTTATTATTGATGACACGTCATAGTGAGAAAGTAAAGTGATTTTCTCATGGAATTTAAATAGTATACTTAATATTTATAACAAGTTTATAACAAAATCACTTTGCAAAATCTTATGATGTACACGTGATTCTTGACCTATAACCGTACAAAGTTTCAATTTACTCATCGACGACAAAGAAATGAAATTTGAAGTACATAAAAATATTATTTATATCAATCAAGATGTACCTAAAATACATTGAGGTAGGTGCTACCTGAAATCAGATAAGTCGCCTCAAAGTTTAATATAATTTATAATTTTTAAACAGTGGGGATTATCTGTCAGTAAATATTGTTTCTTTTTATGTCGTATATCGATATTTTAATCGGTCTGAAGTAATTTATATTTGGTTAAAGCAATAAAATTGTCAGTGTGTCGATTGAAGTCGCGGTGACCTGACGCATTGAAAAAATGCTAATCCCTGTCTTGTTTAGTCTCATCGCGTATTTAAATATTTTCATTATTTTTTTATTCATCGTGAAGAGAATGGATCTGTTTAATTTATTTTACGGATCGTTGCAATTGACCATTGTTTTATTTTTCGTCTATTTTATCTTGTTGCTGAAATGGTGATAACAGTTGTTATAAATATTTTTTTTATTCTTTTTTTTTCTTCAGGGTAAACAAAATGGTGGACATTGTGAGCAATCGGATTTTCGATAGTTTTAGTCGTTTCTCACCCAAAGAAAATCACCAGACTGAATCTCTAACAACTATTTCACAACTGAAACGGTTTTCCAAAGCTAATGAATTCCGGAGGAGGAATTTTCTTAAGGATGATCTTAAGGTTTGTTGTGTGGACTTTGGTAAATCATTCATTGGCGATAATGTTTTGTATCATTCCGGTGGCAATCAACCTTCACTTTCTCTTTGTAATTTCCTGAATGAATTTTTCTTCTTAGTTGCGTGACGAAATGTGCGTGAAACGTTTGCGATTTAAATCGAGATTAATCAAAATTAAAAATCGAGTTACTTGTTAAAATTTCATCTTGGTTTTTAAATTTAATTTTAATTTGGTTGTAGGAGCGAGACAATCACCTTTACGACATTAAGGAAAATGTCGCAGAAGTTGAATTACCACCCAGTAGGCCCTTGATGGGTCTGAGTTGTGATTATTGCACCAGTGCAAGTAGGGTGAGTAGTTTTTAGTGCGATTTAGTCCGAAATTCGTTCTAGAAAAGCACTCTCTCTAATGAGTTTATTTTTAGTTTAGTAGTGTTAGGAATGGAGTGGCGTGGTTTCGACTCTCGGGTAATAATAAATAAATTTACGTAATTTTGTTATTTTTTGGTTAATCTCGCACCGTCCTTGTTTTCTTGACACGACTAAATTAATTGCAAAATAGTTCAATTGACGTGGGACGTCGAAATTGAACCGTGGGCGAATGATATCAATTTATTTTTTTTCAGGAATCTCTGATTAATAAGACAACCGAAAAATTTGCTTTGAACAATATTTTGGATCATACACCTTCCTTGCACAAAAATGGTTTTCTCCAACGAACTTTTTCCCACTTGAATCAAGTGTACGAATTGAAAAAATTCGACTACCCACAAGTGGCTGAAATTGTCCTGAAGGATGACCGGCTGAAAAAAGCCATCGAGAAGACAGCTTTGCAACAGTACCAAGATTCCGAACGAAACGACGATGAGTTCTATCAAGAATTATTGAAAAATAATCATAAAAGAGCCAAAAAATTATTATACGGGATGAGGTCTACACTTTCTGATTTTCTGCTAAGATTTACGTCTTGGGTTTTGTACAAATTGTTGCCGTGTTTTTTGAGCTGTGTGGTTGCCCATCCTGGACAGATAAATATGTTGAAAGAAGCAGGGAAAACTAGTCTTCCTTTGATATTCCTACCATTGCATAGGTCACATTTAGATTATATTTTAATTTCTTTTATTTTATTGAATAATAATGTCCGGTCACCGCTTGTAGCAGCGGGGGATAATTTGAGAATACCGTTCTTTGGGTGAGTTACTAGTTCTAAAACGAAGTTCACTTCACTGCGTCCAGTAGATAAAAATTAAGTTAGTAACGCATTTTATAACGTTCCATGGAATTTCACTTTATACAGGGTGTAACGAAAAGTTGGGAACAAAGAGTAAATAAAGCAATTTAACCCATCTTACCTATATACCAAGTTGCACCGCTTAAAAGTTAGAGGGCGTCAAAGTTTAAAAGTTATTTTCGTTTTTCTTGAATAACTTTTTGGATTAATCGATTTTTATGAAATTTGGTAAAGGCAATTTAATATCAAAACCACATCTTTTGGTGCAACTTCTTTTATTTAATTTTTATTGTAAAATACTTACTTATTAACAACTTGACACATTTTAAGCCACGTAATCCGAGTGGCGTAATTCTTTTTTTAATCAAAAGGTACTACATTATTTCTAAATAATTTTTGAGTCTTATAAAATTTTGTATCGGTCTTGGTTTTAGAGTAAAAAAAATAATTTAAGTAGATATGTTAAAATTTTGGAAGTTGGCTATTTATTATTATTGTTTTTAAAACTGTATTAAAATTTTTGAGTTTTCATGTTTTTATGTGTGTTTGTGTTAGTAAACAATGTAATTAATTATTAATTTAAACAAAAATATCATAATTTCATTGGCGCCCTCTAACAACTTGGTAGAGGTAAGTTGGGTTAAATCGCTTTATTTTGACCTGGGAAATACTAGGTTACTCTTTGTTCCCATCTTTTTGTTACACCCTGTAGAAATACAAATTACTTATTATTGGGTATCGATTTTCTCTGACTAAAAAGTAGTAAAAAAAACACCATCTCCTGTATTATTACTATTATTAGGTAGGTACACTTGGTTGCAAAAAAATCGGAAAATGTCAAAGCATAAAAATATCAGATTTTTCTATTTATCCATAGTTTGAACATGGCTTAATTCTAAAAGATTAAGTTAGAACTGACAGTTAATCTTTAGTACTCACTACTCATTGGGTTTTCACGTAAGTACTCAACTAATTAATTATCTTGATTTGCATTTGATGCTCTCGGCATTACAAAAAAACATATATGAATGCGACAGATGACAAATTGACAACTAAATTGACGAGGGCAAAACCTGTTTCATTCTAAAGAAAATTTAATTTTCCGTTTTCATTGCAACCAACTGTGCATGATTTGTGTTTTCATGGAAATTGAAATTATTTTATATAAGTAATAAAGAAGACAAACGCTTTGTTCTTATGTTCCAAAGTGACTTTTATTAAAGTACATAGTATCCTTTTACATTTCAAAAATTATTATAAAATTTCGTTTCTATTCGTTTTTAAGTTTTTTCTTTGTTTCTATTTCTGCTAAATGGTTCTAACATCACAAGAGTAATGTTTTGTTTCTTGTGCCAATTTTTCGTGATGTGAACAACGCTGTACTAAGATAACTGCAAACTATCACCTCTTAAACCGCTACATTCTTTTTAAAATTTTGTATTTTTCACATAACAATTCAAATTTGTAATCAAAATATGTATGGATTTTTATAAAATGTTATTACGCATTATACACCTTTCTAAGACAATTAATTAAGATAAAGTTGGTGGACGCATTGAAATGAGCTCTAGTGTAATAGTTAGTTTAATTTTATTAATTTAAATTTGGCTTAGGTCCCTTTTGCGCGGTTTGGGCGCCTTTTTCATAAAGCGCCGCATCGACCCCATTATGGGGCGCAAAGACCACCTTTACAAGGCCGTCTTGCACACATACATGAACGAATGTCTGCGAGCCGGCCATAACATGGAATTTTTCCTCGAAGGCGGCCGTACAAGAACTGGCAAGCCTTGTATGCCCAAATACGGTATTCTTAGTGTAATTGTCGAGGCGTTCATGGATGGTACCATCGAGGATGCTTTATTGGTACCGGTCAGTGTCAATTACGAGAAATTAGTCGATGGGAATTTCGTACGTGAACAATTAGGACAACCAAAGGAAATGGAAACGTTTGGAGCGGCCATGAAAGGTATCTGGCATGTACTAAATAGCGACTATGGCATGATGAGGATCGATTTTAATCAACCGTTTTCGCTTAGGGTAAGTTCTGGTCGAGATTGGGGTTTTTATTTTATTGAAATTGGTAGGAGTTGGTGAAGACTTTCAACGCGTCGAAAAAAGTACAAAATGGATTTAAGAAGATGCTAAAGTCGAATCCATCGACGACGAGTTTGTATGGAACGGATGTGGTATCGGATGAACACAAAAGTGTGGTTGAGAGTATTTCAAAACATATTATTTATGGTAGGTTTATGTGACTAAAAGATTCAATAATTACAAAAAGTTTATTTGCAGATTGTGCCAAATCGACATCAGTGATGTCAACAAACGCGTTAGCATTCCTTTTGTTAAATAAATTCAGAGAGGGCGCCACTATTGAGCAACTAGTGTCGGCACTAGATACCCTAAGACTTGAACTAAATGTCGCTAGAAAGGATTTGGGTTTCACTGGCGATTCTATCGATGTTGTCAATTATGCAATTGAATTGTTAGGCCCAGGTTTAGTCAGGAAGGAAAAAATAAACGGCGAAGACATAATTAAACCAATCGCAATCCTTCCAAATGTCATAGAACTGACTTATTACAGTAACACTTTAGTTACACATTACGCACTTGAGTCAATAGTCGCAATCGCTATAAATATGGTGGCCACCAAATTAGGCACTGTTTCTCATTCTGAATTAATTGAAACAATACTCGATTTGTGCAATGTGTTACAGTACGAATTTATATTATGTAAGCCTTGTCAGAATTTGGAGCATGTAGTGATTGGGTGTTTGGACGATATGAATGTTAAATACCGAATTTTCGTTGAGGAGACCCAGGATGAAGAAGAGGTGGTCAGAAGTAAAAAGATAGCGAGGGAGTTTGAGGATGAGGATTTGGACGAGGCTGCGGCCGAGAAACCCTATGTTTTGAGTAATGAAAAGGGGGCTGTAGAGAGATTAAAGTTCATGCAAGGGTTATTAATGCCGTTGGTCGAGACGTACGCCGTGTCTGCGTTTACTTTGGAAAAATTGGTTGGAAGGTCTCAACTTGAAAACGAACTGATTAACGATATCTTAAGTGAGATTAAGTTGCAATTAGCGGAGGGGTCATTGAAATATGGTGGGTATAATTGGGGTTGTAGCATTGAGATTTTAAGTTTTTTTTCTAGACGAGAGTGTGTCTGTTGACCCGATCAAAAACGCACTGAAGCTGTACCAGAAATGGGATATTCTGGAGTGCCATACTGAGAATAAATTAAGACTTTATTATTTGAAGGAAAACCAAGACAATACGGAAGCTGTCAAGACGTTGTATCAAAGGATTAATAAATTTAGACAATCTTTTTAGGTATACCAAAGTGTTTGTTATTTATTGTGTCTAAAATGACAAGTTTTGTATTATAGGATTACATCTTAGTTGCAAATTTATTTTCATGTGAGGTTTTTTATTGTAAAAATTAGATTTGCTCTTGTTTAGTTTCATAATTTTTTATCAGCTGTGATAATTATAAATGAATAAATTTTTATCACGTGAGGGTGTTTAGTATTTCTTCAGGCGTGGGGCTTTTGGCTACGGCATGGACTTTGAGGTTTTGGTCCTGGAGGGCTAACTCAGTTACAGGTCCTATTGCAATAATCTATGAAAAAATAAAATAAATACCTACCGATAAAATCCTTGAAAAAATACCTTTACATCATCACAGTCAGTAAGCAGTTTACGTAAATATTTGATACTACTATGCAAGCCTGAAGGACTAAAATATATTATAAATTCTGGAATATCTGTAAAATTATTTGTACATTCCGATAATTCTTGACCAATATCAGGATTTGGAAGCGTATCATAGACAAGAACTTCTTCAATTAGCACATTTTCTTTCCCTAATTCTAATTTAAGAGTATCAGTCTTTAAATTACCATGAGGAAAGAGAAAAGGCTTAGTGAATTGTGTCTTATCTACAATAATAAAAATTAAACTTAAATAATAAACAAAACTTCATACTTTGAATGATAATTTGTGACAAATTCTTAGCATTGCCACTTTCCTTCCCCTGGCACTCTACCCCCAACTTGTCTTGAGCCTCTTTATAGGTACTTTCACCTACTGTAAAGTTTGATTTGTGACCCCACAATTCTTGTATTTGCTTTTTCTCCAAAGTCTGGTTTACTGCGCTAACACAACGAGGACTTGACAACAGAATACCACTGTAATTATCAACACTTAACAGTTTTTCCCGCAACATTTCCAGATTTTTGTATTGAAACACTAATGTTTTGACAATCATAACCTTAAAATTAGTGGCTTTCAATAAATTCGTATATTTGTCGTCCATCGTATCGGACTTAAGTAAAAGCACTGTATTTTTTAGCAGAGTCATAGCGACACTTGTAATTGTTCATTAATTGTTAAAATTTATTTACAAACTTTTTTAACTCTTTTCCTGTTAGGGATATTTATTTTACAGTGTTTCACATTCCACATGTCTTTAGTGGGGCGGAGAAGAAAATTAATGATTTTAAGGCAAATAAATAAAAATATGGTTTTAAGCATACTTGAGCCATAACAGCAATCCTATTTTCAAATAATACTTATTAATCAAAATTATTATTAAACCCAATATCAATCTGGTGTTTTCAATTAAGCCCGGTTGGCAATGCAGCAATTCTTCAAAATAAGTGTACGCGCAAGCAAAGATCAACAAAAATAAATAGAAACACGTCTGTCTTTAGATTTAGATCTATCTACAGACCTGTAACTGTAAATCTATCCACAGACCTGTAAATGTAGATTTGTAAATGGAGCTGTAATATCTATCTAAAGATCTGTAACTGTACATTTATCTGTGGAACTATCTACAGACCTGTAACTAGATCCATCTACAGACCTGTGACTGTAGATCTATCTACAGACTTGTAAGTAACTATAGACCCATCTACAGACATGTAACTGTAGATCTATCTACAGACCTGTAACTGTAGATCTACCTCCAGACTAATGGGTACAATTTTAGATATAACAAACATTTAAGTATAGTTGGTGAATTTTACATTTGTAGATCCTTTTCCAAGACTGCGCTGCATGATTTTTAGTAAGTAGAGGACCTAAGTCATCACATTTAATTCATTTAAATCACTGTAATGGAATAAAGTCGATCTGATCGCTTCTCGTGCATGATTCCATCATTTTGATCTATTGTGATATTATCATAAAGTCATTTTTCAACTAGGACATTTAGAGTAATTTGTTTCTGGGTGCGTAATGGAGCGTTTAATGAGGAGCTCGCCGCCGACGGTGGCCAAGGGACCGGCAAATTGAATCGTTCCGAGCTTAGACACTACTTTGGAACCGACACAACTTCTTTTTCTTGCAAACCAACATTTATAAAAATCTCACTTCTTCCAAACACTCATCTGATTTCTTGCAGAATATAATTTTTAGGAATATATCTGCAAAAGCGTTTTTTATTGGTGTCGTTTGTTGCGAGTTGTTTCGTCTTGAGTGCGTGTAGGGTCGTAAATCGGGACCGTCTTAGGTATCGTTTAAGCAAGCAGTGCGCTAAGGGCCGTAAGGTGTCGTTAAGGCAAGGCCACTCGGTAACGTTTATCTGTTAAATGACCCAAAACAAGTAACAAAGTGGTCCTGTTCCTGTAGCAGCAGAGCAGCACACAGAGAGGCCGTTTTCATGCTCTTTGCACTCGCCCTTTTTTTATCGGGAAACAATCCAACCGGAAAATGAACACTCCTGTGGTGACAAAAGAACATTCCATCATTTCCGGAGAAATGGCCGCCATTAGAAATGCATAAACGGGGATTCCCAGGACATATTTTACACAACGGACGTTTTTAGGGTTATTGCCCGAAATGAACCGGAAAATTTGCCCCAATCAATTTCGAAAACATCAAGATGACTACCGGATAGCTTGATCTAAACAACTTGGGACCAACTTAGCCATACAAAATTTGAAGATATAAACAGAATAAGCTATCTTTGCGCATTTTGTTGCAAGCTTCATTGTTTTAAATACATTTATAAAAACAATATGAAAGAATTAAAAGCATAATAAGAATTTATTCTCAAAATTATAAAATTACTTGTCCTTTCCATTATTATAAAATATCTAATAAATAAATGAAATCTCTTAGGTTAAAATACCATCTTGTTATTTTAATATTTTACTTAACCAAAATATTATATCTATTACCTATCTAGGGACAAAAAGAAAAAATCATACAGATTTTCCTCTTCATCCATACTTGACATTCGCCAAAAAGTCTTATTTAGAAAATTTTTCCTCTTGTGTTTACAAGAGGAAAAAAAATTATCTTTTATTTAACGCCAAAACTGCAAAGGAAAAAATTTTTTGCTTCACCTGAAACGAGCAAATCTGTAATTAAAACTTCATTATTCTAACTCAGTAGATCTTTTGATTTTGGACTTATTTTTCTCTGCTTTTTAAGTTCTATCATATTGGCGTTTTTATTTATTTCACAACTGTATGTCACTTTGACAATTAATTTATTAATTGAATTGAATGATAGTTCTTGTTAAAAATGACTTTGTTTTTATCTTAAAAGTGTTTTTTTTGAGTTGCTATTTATTAAAATTATGTTTTTCACAAACATTTTTGTTATTTAACTTGCGTAAACTTATTTGTCAAAGTGACATCATTGTCAAATAAATAAAATCGCCAATGTGATAGGAAAGCAGAGAAAAATTATTAAAGTCCAAAATCAAGGAAAAAATTAACTTTTCTTTTCACTGAATCAGAATAATGAAGTTTTAATTACAGATTTGCTCGTTTCAGATAAAGCAAAAAAATGTTTTTCCTCTGAAGTTTTGGCGTAAAATCAAGGATAATTTTTTTTTCCTCTTATAAACTCAATCCGGGAACATACTGTATATGAAAACAGATTTTTAAGTATTTATCACAAAAAAGTGGGTTTCTCACTGTGTTATTGTTTTGCTTATTAGATACGTACCTGTTTTTAAAGAATTTTCTTTTTTCTATTTTGTATTAATTTTTTTTGAAGAATCATTTGTACTGTAATTTAATTAACAGCTAAGATAAAATATACGAATTAAATAAAAATCAAAGAATTAGAAGAAGAATGACATAACTAATTGATAAAAAATAGTGTATAAATTTGAGCTATTGAATATTAAATCTCAATTTTTACTTCAAAAATTGAGTTATTACAGTATTAACGCATTAAGAATTAACAATAAACAATGCAAACGATTTAATATGTAATTAATTAATGAGTGAAAAATGTTACGAATGAAATATTTTGTGAAAGTTTTGTTTTTCAATTTTTTTTGTCTAAATAGTGGTCCATTTTTACATTTTTACCAAAAGTTAATTTGGTTTCAATTTTTTAACATTTCTTAATGTTTAATGTTGGAATTAAAATTACCTGATTTTTAAAGTTCATAGGAATGAATTTCCATACAAATGATCAATTTTGTGCATAATTATTATGTTATTATAAAGAACCAAAATTTCGAATAAAATCAATATTTCGATCTTAAGAAGTAAGAAAGTACTTATATTTAATTTTAAGTATAAAAAACTGATAACAGATAGTTAGTTTCTCTTTAGTCTCTCGTTAAATGCCTCGATTGTATTTTCCTTTTTTCACGATGCCAGAGTAAAATTTATATTTTCGGATTAGAATCTTGAAGATGTTATAATTTCGGTTTGGAGATTGATATCTTTTCGGCGTCGACCATTTACTGCATCTCAAGTAAGAATAAGCCCTAATGGAATTTTTATCTGTATTGAAATGAAAGAAGTAAGAAGCGCTCATGCAAAGAAGTTTTCCGCCAGATAAAAAGCCGTTAAATTTGCCGGTATTCATTCCCTTTGGCTGCGTATTATTGGCAGTGTTTTAAATTTGAACCTAATCCAACTTAAAATGCCATTTCATAGATCCGACTCCATCCGCCTTCCTGTAAGTGCTACACTCGCCGGATTTTACGTAAAAGAATTTTAAATTCTTAAGTAGCGATTTTCTGGCTCTTTCTATCACAAAGTCGATCCCAATCCTGCCTTCTCTGTTTGAAAAACAGCAGATTTTTAATTCCCACAGTCTTCCACCAGCTACATATATATTTTCCTTCCCTTTATACCTTTATTCACGGTTTTCAACCGATCGGGAAACTCACATTTGACCGCTTCATTGTTACTACGAGTACTTTTCCGAGTTGCATTATAAGTGAGATAATATCAGAGATTTTTCGATTAAATTTAAAACGGGTAAAGAGTTTTTTTACTTCTTATTTGCGAGATAAAAAAGTATAATACAGTTTTAAAAAGTGTTAAGGACACGGAAAAATAAAAGGCTGCCGGAGGGGATCCGATAATAAGCTTTTAAAAAAGTTGGAGAGCGTCCTGATAGTGTTTTGTTGATCCCCAGGGCGGCTCGACGGCCGGAAAACGGAAGTGGAGCATGTCCGTTCTTCCCGATCCGATTAGTGAGTTAATTAAGTGCTCTTACTTAATTGAGACGCCGATTTATTAATTACCTATTATAATTATATTCGTTCGCTACGACGTAAAGGGTGGAAAATTTACTTTGTAAACAAATTTATTTAAAATAAATAAGTAGACATTATCAAAAAGTTTCTATTGAAGAAAAGTGCTTTCTTTCCAACACTAATATCTTATACTGTTTTTACAGTGCATTTAAGCCGTTAACACAGGGTGTTTCAGAACGCGAGTCCCAAAGAAAAATGCCATGTAAAGTAATACCATCAGGAACATAGAAAAAATGTTAAAAAAATTCTATATACAAAAGTTTCGAAATTATGGGAGTTTAAATTTTGCAATTTTGCACTTTGACTCTTTTTATTTCTGTTGAAAAAATAATTTTCTATGTTTTTTTGCTGCTCTTGCTCTTTTAATAGCCTAAAAGAGGAAACAAGGAAGCTGTATACTAAATTGTAACTCTGTTGAATGTTATTTGTGGCTTTGATTGGCAAAAATTTTGTACCTTTACTAAATAATTATGAAAAACATAGTAAAGCCAGATCATCAGTAACGCTAAACAGACATAAAAAATGTTAAATGTCAAAAAATAAATGTTAAAATTTTTTGACAGAGAATTTTTTAAACATTTTTTTCGTGTCCCTGGTATCTTATCTTTGGGGCGCAAGTTCTTAAACACCTGGATAACGCTTTTCTATAAAATACAACAATCACAACGAACTTTATAAGTACATAACTAGTACAATCAATTTAAAAAAAAAGTGACCGTCAGTGTCATTTTAAAAATTAATAAATAATAAATAATTTATAATTTGCCAACAAAATTGATTTGATGATAAATTACCAAACTTCATGATGCCAAATACTTACCTAATTTATTTTCACGGGAATAATTAATTTTATGCCAAAATGTCACAATGACGACCATTTTTTTTTTAATTTGACTGTATATTAAAAAAAAAGTGTTA